GGGGAGGGCGGGGTAGAAATGTAATAATACATTTTTAAAAATTAAAATTTCCTGTCATGTTCCGTGTGTGCATGCCCCTTCTAGACATCTCAAATTACTATCCAAACCACTGCCTGGATTTCTGCTTGGCATCCTTGCTAAACAATCCCTCATGGAACTCCTAACCTTCGAGTTGGTGTAAGTCCAAGGTAAACTTGGCTCTTTAGATCCCTGCACACTCATCAGCCACCCCAAACAACATCCTCACAGAGATAGGCAATACCACCCTCTGTTCTCCTTGCTGTTCTCCTCTTCAATGCTCTGCGCATGGTACAGTGTGGATAAGTATTGTGCAAGTGCTGGGACTGGGGACAAGTATTTGTGGGAGCCCTTCCTATTTTTTTGTATTGAGTATTACTGTGATTGCTTGCTTGTGCTTTGGTTCCTCTCAATAAACTGTCCCTGATTATTCTTCTTACCTGCCTTTGTTTTAATTCCAATGTTGTGTTGGAGCCCTGTCACTTTGTCAAAAAGGACCTTAAAATAGTGTGTGGTGGTCTAAGTCCAGGTGTTTGGGCATACATTCTTCTGTGTTTTGTGCCAATTTGATTGGTCCTAATAAAAACTATTACACAGATTGTGTTCTGTGCAGCTGTATAACTTTTTATATTGCCTCCTAGACTAACGTTAAGATCTAAGTCAGCAGCCCCTGCTAGGACAGACGTGAGATGTGGCATATGGGGATTTCTCTCCTTTGTTTAGCTGTTTTATGTGACTCACCCAAAGCATGTGCCCAACTGACGTATACAGGACACAAATGGTAAACAAGGACTACCAAAACAGCCCCAAGTTTCTATTACTGTCATTCACCTTTTAGGAACTGGAACAAGAGCTTCTACTTAGTAGCAAATAGGATATTTTGCAAACTTTTTCCTTGCATAGTAACAGTTACAGTGGGCAAAGCTTAGAATTCCTACCTCAGACTTTAAGCACAATGTTAAGGTACAGAATGCCAATAAGCATTCATTGCTTTAACCACACTACATACACACTAATAGAGTATTTAAAATATTTCCCTCTTACCTTAATTATTGAGATTTTGTCATTCCTGTTATATTATGTGGAAGTACAGTAGGAAATGAAGAAACAGCTACTTCAGGGGCATCAAAAAAGTATGCCTACAAGATTAGAAACAGTGGGGAAGGAAACAATACATTATAAGAACCACAAATTAACTTCCTCTGCATTCTACATAACATAGTTGACACTCTTATTCCCTCTTGACAACAATCCTAATAATCCTTTGACCATCAGTAATGCAGTTAAACAACTACTCAAAACCAAGACAGCGTTTTCTTCATACTCAGGGCTTCCCTGGCACACAGAAAAATATTAATTTGTAAAAAATATATATATAAGCCAATCAGATGGCCCAGCAAGGACAAAGTATGCTCACTGTCATCTAGGAGCCACAAAATGATGATTGTTGAGTGTTAGTTGAAGGGGGAGGCACGGTGAGGGGTACTTTCCTGCTTAAGCTCAAAAAGAGTTTACAGTATCCTGCAGGGGAAGAATTGTTATATAGAACTCGCAGCAATAGATTGCAGAGGACCATGGCTAAATTAACAATAAACCCAGAATTCATTTTTTGTGTGCTTACGTTGGGGGGGGGGATCACTAACTTTTTATCCACTGCAATTTCTCACAGACTGCCCAATTCTTCCCTCTAATGGCAAAGTTAATGGTCAAGTGCCTATCAGTACAGCAGCAAAACACAATCATCCACAGACAAGGTACTGATTTCTGTATGCTCCTGGGACCAACCACCCAGGCAAGGAGAAATATGCTGTGCTTTGTAAACAGCAACAAAAAGTCAATCATCTGAAAAGGCTGGAGCACTAGGAGTCATGAGACACGGAGGACAGATGAATGTAATTTAAAGGGGTGGAAAGTAAACCAATGGGGAAGAGAAAAAAGGCTTGAGCAGTCCAAAGAGCTTATAGTAACATGGAAGGAAACATTTTGGACTGCTTTGTTTTATGCGTTTTTCTTGCTGATTTTACTGAAATGTTTTTATTGATTTTGTTTTTGTTTTGGTTGGTATGATTTATTTCTATTGTTTTCACGGCTGTTTGCTTAGTTCTGTTTTACTTGTGCTCAAGCTACTAGAGCAGTTCTGAAGAGGTGGCATACAAATATTCTAGCTACATAAATAAATAAATTACGCAAATGTGTGTACTAGAAATTTAACAAAAAATGCTAAATCAATCTCTAGTCTTTTTCCGCTGAGTTGCATAAACAGAAAATTTTTAAAGATATTTAAATAAGATTTCTAACGATGTTTAAATAACATCTCCTGCTGTGTAGTTTGAACGTGTCCTCCATAAAAAAAATCACAGCATCTGTACTTTGAACTGCATGGGAAACTGATCTCAGAGGAAAGTATATATTGATGAACTGTGAGGAAAGAGAAGTATCATACCAAGCAACCAACAGCTAGCAAAGCATGGAGAAGTACAATTGTCACAATTGTAGCCACTGCAATCCTTCGATTATCATCTCTAACAGCAGGCCAAAATGTCATTGCTAGAACTGATCCTGAAAGACACAGAGCAAATACGACCAAAACCCATCGGACAGCTTTCAGTGGAATGATCCACAAAATCTGCAAAGAAAAAGAACGGAAGTCAACTGTTGATTGTAAATCCAGTGCTTCCTGGCTCTAACAAACTAAAGTCCCATGGCAACATTATATTTAAAATCACCTATTATCAGAAACGGTATCAAACTGTCACCTGCAGCCTGGAGAAGAATTTGCTCCCAGTGTGGATATCACTTTTCCTGATATCAGTGAGTAAAAATATATACTAGCAGCACACATAACCCTTTTCTATATTTTACCAACTGAACATATTTTTAATTTATTACCACTCAAGGTACAGTCTGGAATTGCTGCACTGGGCAGCCTCAAGCAGAAATAAGCCTCAACCAGTCGTCCATTATCTCCTACAGAACAATCTTAGTGGGACGAGCTTCATATTATAAATTTTCGCAGTTAAACAACTGGTGTAGAACATCAGCTGCTTTTAGGTACTCCATTTATACAGCATTTACTCAAAATTCCTCCTAAATTTCTTTATGTTGTACTTACTGCAGTTGGAATATAAATGAAGAGTGAATAGCCATAGACACACACAATCTCAAGAAATGAGTAGGAGACAATGTTCATAACTTTGTTGTTTCTCCACATAAGGAATCCCCAGAGCGTCAGAGGAACCAGCCATGCATACGCATAGATAGCTGTTGCAGCTATGGACACTGTAAAGAGATTTGTTTTAGAACCAAGAATCATACAAAGCACAATAAGGATATGACACTTAATGGCTTCTATGGACTGCAAGTTGTACTGGATAATATTCAGGCAATGTTTCCTCTAACCTGTCAACTGTTGTGAGCAAAAATCCTACCTTGTGTGAGCCAAAAAATTTACAAGCATAAAAGTTGTGAATGAGCCTAAATTAAAAAAAAAAATCCGTTTACAAACATGAAGAAATGGAAAAAAACAGAAAGAAAGAGAGGCAGAGAGGGAGGGAGAAAGGGAAATAAATGGAAAAAAGGGGGAAAAAGAAATGGTAAGAAAGGGAAAAAGGGAAAGAAGGAAAAAGAAAGGAGAAGGAAAAGAAAAAGGGAAAGAAATGGAGAGAGAGAGAAAGATGGAAAGAAACGGAAAGAAAAGGAAGGAAACGGAAAGAATGGGGGAAAGGGAAAGAAATGGAAAGAAAGGGAAAAATGGAAAAAGAAAAAAATGGAAAGGGGAGGAAAGAAAGCAAATTCATGGGGAAGCAGGAAGGAAGGGGTGGAAAGAAGAAGAAGGAAAGAGGCCCCCCTCTACTGACAGCCAGCCATTAGAGTGCTCAGTTTGGCTCTTCCCTTCCAAGCAAAGAGAAGCTAAAGGGAGGGCTGAAATGGTTTCCTGCCTTTTAAAGCCAGCAGCCTGACGAATCCGCCTGTCAGCTGCTGGCTTTAAAGGGTGGGGCAACCATTTCAGGGCTTCCTTTCCCTTCCCGTTTCCAAGCTGGGGGAAGCAAAAGGGAGCCCTTTGCTTCCTACCTTTTAAACCCAGCAGCCAGCAGGTCCACCCGTCAGCTGCTTGCTTTAAAGGGCAGGCATCCATTTCAGGGCTCCCTTTTGCTTCCCCCCACTTCTAAGCAGGAGGGAGCAAAAGGGAGCCCTAAAAGTGTTTCCCACCCTTTAAAGCCCTTTCAGCGTTCCCTTTACTTCCCCCCGCTTCCAACTTGGGGGAAGTGAAAGGGAGCCCTGAAAGGGCTTCTTGCCCTTTAAAGCGAACAGTGTGGCAGGTCCGCCTGTCAGCTGTTTGCTTTAAGGGCGGTCAGCCATTAGATGCCTCCCTTTCACTCCCCCCCTTCCAAGCGGAGGGGGAAGGGAGCCACAAAATGGCTGCCAGCCATTTAAAGCTTGGCTTTTGTGCCTCTCCCCTGCACTTGAGGGGGCTGGGTGGGGGCAAGATTCCTGGCCCTGCGCTCAACAGCAGATCTGGCGGTTGGGAATTTGTGCGCCAGTACAGGCTGGCACAGCTTAAAGGGAACACTGATGGGTATTTTGTTGAAAATGTACTCATCTTCTTTAAATCAGCTCTTCAGGCTGTTCCCACTGGCTGGGTCTAGTACATAAATGTATCTCAGAAAGAGGAATCAAATCCTGAAACAGCTGGTTAAAGTTCTTGAATTCCTGGCCCCCAAAATGCAATATTCATATACAACCAAGGATCATCACAAGACATACATGCATAATTTTCCGGTGTCACCCAATTTTATCCGTCCATATCCTACCAGTTCTTGGCTCCACTCATCTAAATTCCCTATCCATGTGAGTAAAATTATACACAATGTATTTGTTCCCCCTTCCTTGCTTCTCACTTAAGGAGAAAGTATACACTTAAGGAGAAAGTAAGCCTTGAAGTCCCTGGGGACTGCATACTTCAAGAGACACATCATAACCTTCTGTACTGCAGTCGTACCCCCTTTCATGCAGTTGTCTTTCATATCTTAAATAATTATTTTATGACTATAGATAGATAAAGAAACAAGCCTTCAAACCTGTTTGGAATAGGTTTTACAAACCTTTTCTGAATTCAGGCACATAAGGGTAAAAAGGGTCACCAAGACGGATGAAGAATTTTGAAAGGTTGCCACTGATAGCAATGGCAAAGACTAATGTTGCACATATCCAAAAGGGACCTTGAATGGGGACAAAATAGGCAATAAGTTATTTTTACTGACTCATTTCCATTTAGTGCAAAAGTATATCAACAACCCCCTTATGAGATTGTTAGTATTTGTACATACCATAAAGGTCAGGATTACTTCTTATGTACAGTCTTACAAAGTTCTTCCCTGGTACTGGAAAAACAGAACCTTTGATTCTGTCCAGGACCTGATAAAAGTAATACAAAGTATTTGAATGAAGATACACAAAACATCCTTTAATATATTTTAATCTTGAATTAAAGAACACATAAGCATTGGTGTTTTGCAAACGGCCCAGAAGAATATACGCAATATCTCTTCTGCATCCTTTCCATGCTACTGTATTGTGTTTTCCCTTTCTTATGGTGGTGAGTAACTCCCCATTCTATTTTGCTGACCATAATCCACAGTTGCACAATCATTTAAATAATGGGGGCAGGGAAGGTGATGGTTGAATATTAGCCACAAGGTATAGATAGGAACTCTCGGTCTGGGGCAAGTGATGCTCTGTATTCTTGGTACTGGGGGGGGGCGGAATAGTGGGAGGGCTTCTAGTGTCCTGGCCCCACTGGTGGACCCCCTGATGGCACCTGGTATTTTTGGCCACTGTGTGACAGAGTGTTGGACTGGATGGGCCACTGGCCTGATTCAACATTGGCTTCTCATGTTCTAATACATACTACAGGAGGATTATTTCAAAAGGGTGCTAATGAGGGTGCAGAGGTGCTGTTCTCTAAATAGTGCTGTTCTCTAAATAGCAGGATGTATCTGTGTGTACAACCCCTGATAACCAAATGCAAAGCAAATTCTATTAATCATACATCAAATAGAGATCAGAAGTTATAAAATTATGAACACACTTGCACAACACCCTGAAGTGGTAGAGAAGGGAACAACCATTACGACACTTGTTAAAATAAATGGTCCTCGTAATTTCTCATGTTACTGGCATGGGGATGGGAACAGGGTACGACAAAGAAACATTGAGTTGTTTCAGATTACACACACCACCAGCTCTCTCTCAAACGTACGGGTGGCGGAGGTTGAGAAACATGCACACTTTCTTAATGGGGACGTCACTGCAGATCACAAACCTGGTATGTATCTACATCAAAAAATGTTTGGTAATACTCAAATGTCCAGAAGGGGGCGCTTTTCTTCTGCCCAGCAAGCAACTGAAAAATAAATAAAATTACTATAATACTGATGCAGATTACTTATTCAATATTAGCAAGTCTCTTTAAAAGCCAGACATTTTTATGAAAGCCCAGGGAAAAAAAGAAACACGAATTCGGAAGCAGAATTATCAGCAAAATCTTTGCCATGTATTCTACATTACAGCCTGTTAACTCTGCAAATTTATCTCAAAGAAATGTCATTTTTTGTCAAGCCCCCCCCCCCCCCCCCCTCCCGCTGGAAACCTTAAATGAACCCTCTGGAGAGACATCAGGCTGCTGACAGATTATATGTACTTGACATAACTTGTTTTTACAGCAGTGCATTTATCTCATAGGGAAAATTCTGAAGTCAATAACTCCTTGCCATCTTGTAAACACAATTAAGTGCCAGAGAAGTTATTCATGCAAGCAACCTAATAGCATAACAAGAGTGAACATTTTCTCAACCCTGTGCTATACTAGTAAGTCTGCATGACAAGTGAGTAATAGTAACAGAAAAGCTCTCCCTTCCCCAGGGCAACCCACATCCCAACAGTAAGGAATTCTACATTTCCTCCAATCCTGTGTCTGTAGGAAGGATAGGAATCCCTCCAAGACCCCTGCCTTGTTGACAACATGACCTTTCTGCTGCCTAGCAATCTCATTACTATGTTAACTCTTTCCTGTGGATAGCTAATAGATATCTCAAGTGTTAATTAATAGTTTGGGAAAGAATCTGCAGCTTGCTGGAAACATCCATACATCATCATCTAACCTCAGTTTTATCAGAATCATCTGTCCCCAACAGTTCATCATCCTCCTCTCTCCCGGAGTCTTGCCGATGTCCATGCTTCTTCTTTGGTTTCTCACCATGCTCATCAATTCTTATTGTGACAGCATCCGGATTTGCTGCCAACAAGTTGGCTGCATCATCAAATTCTGAAAAATAAATATTGCCGTCAAAGGTTTAATTGTAAAGCTGTTCTCTGTTGAATCAGACTATGTACCTTCTAAAGGCTACATGGATGCTGAATAAACAAAGTATTTCCTTTTTCAGATGAGAAGCACTGAGCTACTTTCCCCACTGACTTATGTGATAGCTGATCACTCACAGACATATATTCTTACCCAAGGATTGACTCTACCAGAAGACTTGAACCAGTGGCGTATGGTAGGAACTATATCAAAACAGACTATGCACAGGACTGCAGACCCAGCCAGTATAAGTATTTATGAACATATTCAAATTATTATTTAAGTATTTGTCATGTGCAAAATGTTTTATATCTAAAAGCTTCAGCTTCTTTGCACTGTCCATAACTGTCTTGGATAACTGATCGTTCCTGGTTAGGCAGCAAATTCTTGCTAGAAATCTTGCATGATCCTGGGTGGTGACCACAAAACAAAATACTATTTTCAAGATAGGATGGTTCTTCGGTATGCACAAACAATCCTGTTTAACAGTGCATAAGTAAATACAAAAAGCCAAGTGAATGAGATTAACAAAAAGCTGGAAATATTTCCATGATGTATGGAAGACTGCGATAAATTCCAGAATAAGAGACACCACGTTTTATTTTCAAAAAAGGAAAGAAGCAGGCAGCACTTCTAAGTCATTACTGTACAATAATATGAGTCCATGGAACTCTACACTTTAGGAACCAGCACTTTATTAGCAGGAAGACACAAGAGGGGTGTGTTTGGAGGACTGTAGGCCAGATAAAGATTTATTTCACTTGGAAGGTCTGCTCTGAGTAGTGGGTGGGCAGGGCTTTGCTGAGAGTAGGAAATTTCCCAATTGACTTTGTTTGCTGTGTGTTTTGCTGCCCCTTTGCCCTGCATTGTAGCAGCCCAAGGGCAAGTGGTCTGATGACATGAAGAAGCTCTGCCAGGAAAAGGGCAGTACACAGGCGCACTGGATCACATCTGAAGATTCTGTTTGATGCTGAGAAGTGAGGCAAGCCATAGACAAATTAGGATATCAAAGCTGACCCAAGTTAGTTCCTATCATGTGATACGCCCATTGCAATTACAAAAACAGACCAGCAGTTAATTTCAACATCTGACTATTATCTATTTGTAAATGTTGGATTAACCTCAGGGATCCAATGAAGAGACCACAGAACAATTAAGAGCGTTTTAAATATTTTTTACAATTTACCTGAAAACTTAAGGTCATCCACGGTTGCCATTCATGCACTAGTGTCAACGTATTGAAAAGTGATGAGTAGCTGAAAAAAACAAGTGAATAAATATTGTTTCCAGTCTTTAAAATACAACTTTGTTATTCACAAATGGGTTAAACTGAATCTCTAAGCTTTGAAAGTGGCTTGTCCAGTTTAACCCTGCAAGAATCCTTTAAGAAAATGTTAACAAGATTGGTCTGGGTCATCTAGATTACAAATTTGCCACAAAGGGGTTAACAGATTCAAGGCAGGAAGCATTGCCTGAGCAACAAACACGGAGCATTCGGCATGCTAGAGAGACGGAAGATAGGCGGATTTTCTGGGCGCGATCTCACCGCCACATCTGGGAAACGTAGAGCTCCCGTGGCTCACCCAAGGCTTCACTCCGAAGATGCGCGGTAAAAAACTAGTACCTCGGAGGTACTAGTTTCCGGAAACCGCGGGGCAAGGGCGGGCGCGTGATCCCATTCCGGTGGAATCCCATGGCATCCGGCACCCGCCCATGTCCCCTCGCAAAAAGGGGGCTTTTTCCAAGTGTCCTCGGGATGCGCCCAAGCACCCAACAGGGCATGCGCACACGTCGGTGTACAGGGGGGAAAAACACTCGTTTGCCGCAGCGCGCCGCTTCTTTGCCGCGCCGCAGGATTGTGGTGTGATCGGCACCTCCCCCATACCTTGGGACCTCCACGGGATGTCTGCTCGCGCAACCGCACGTTATTTTGCCCCGGGGCAAACAGCCACGCTTCCCCCAAGCATTTTCCTGCCCGTGTGACCGCAGCCAAGAAACAGCTAAGCAAATGAACTCCCCAACTGGAGAAAGGGAAGGCAACAGTTCCTTAATCTTTATTGTCTTTCATGCTTAGAAAGACGATCCAATCTGACCCGGTTGGGGGGGGGGGATGCATTCCTAGCTAATAAAATTGTGATTAGAGAGAATATAAAAGAAAACTCAAAACCCTAGCTTGGACTCATTTGAATTTTTTTTTAAGTTTGATGCAATATTCTTTTTTACTAACATAATTGTTGAACTATTTTGTTAAATCAACAGATACTCCCAAACCAAATACAACTGCTTGAAAGGTTTGCACCTCCAGCAATTTTCTTTGTTTGCAGTGGTGTAGCAAGAAGTTGTCAAATCCACAAGAAATCTTCTACACTCACATAATCAGTTTTGGGGGGAGACATAATTCATTTTGGGGAGGAAGCCTCCACCCATTAAATTTCAAGTCGCCTCCACAGGTAATAAAGCAGGTTAGCTTATGAGAGAGAGTGTGTTCCGTGAACTTTTTACACTTGTTTAGGACTCTGAACCCGGGTCTTCCATTTCCAAATTGCCTGGCCATTACAGCAATATCACTGGGGGGGGGGGGGGGGGGACCTAGGACCAAACGTTATAGACAAAGCCTCAGGCTGCCACATCGCAACCACTCTCTTCCTACTAACCTGTAGGCCTTCCCAGGCTGGAGGGCGGGGATTAAATATTTAGTTCTCTAATGGAAGGCTGCAAAATTTCTTAGAGACTACCTAAACAAAGAAACCAGATCGTATGGCCACAGCAGCAGCTTATCATGCAGGAAACAATTCCGTTCCTGTCGGAAGGGTACAACTCTGTTTAGGATTGAACGATGCAATCGTCTACGCACTGAAGTCTTTCAGGGTCTGCTGCCTAGTGAAAATGCTTAAATCTTAACGGATTAGCACAGTTGGCTTGTTTTGTCAACTAACCGAGGGTAATTTCCACTCTCAGTCACTAACGCAGATGAGACCCTCCCGCAGTTATGCGGGGATAGCGATGAGGAAAAGGCCACCCTTAAGCCACCTTTGCTGGGAAACGGATAGCGCGGGGGTCGGCGGGGTCGTCCATAGCGGAGACAAGGGGACGCAACACCCACCACCACCACGACCCTTCCGCGCATCGGGATCCACCATTAGGGCCACGTCACACGGCAGGCTTTGAGCAGGTACCGGCAGCGCGCAAGCTAAAACCAAGAGGCGAACGCGCCACTTGAAGAAGGGCGCTAGGGATTGGATGCTGTTTCGCCGCGGGGTGTACACTCTTGTTTTCAAACCCTTTTGTCCCCCTAACGTGTGAAGCGGCCCCTCAGAGCCGGGCCGCAGCCAAGACCTCCCCTCACCCTCTCCACAAGGCGGCGCCATCACTACCTGCCGGTTGTCAAAGCAGCGGCGACGACGGAGGCTGCTTCAAAAGGCCTGTATTGCCGGAAACTACAGGAACTGGACAGCTTCTTTTCTTCTCCTCCCATCGCCTCCCCTCTTAAAGGGACAGGTCTCTCTCTTTTGTTAAAAAAGCAACCCAAAAAAGGAGCCTTGCCCGCGACAAAGAGCTCTAGACCGGGAAACCTTACAGGCACCACGTCTTCTTTGGGTACCGGGACGTTCCGGGTTTTTTTTTTGCGGCTGCCTCTCTGGAATCTGGATCTCAAAACAATATTAGCTCGTTGTCAGTTTGGATCCCGTTTTGCCCTTCTCTCTTCCTCGGAGCTCCCAGCTGCTTCTGTGCCTTTAACAAAGGTTTGATGTACAGACATGGCATGAGCACCTTACTGAAGCAGATGAATACATCCTGTTTCGTTTGTGTATTCTTTTTTCAGCCCACCTTTGGCTCAGTGCAGTGTACCGCGCTATTTCCTCTGTCACCAAATGGCTTGTAGTGTAACTGATAGCGCAGTGACATTAGCCGGTTCGGAAGGTGGCAACCTGATCTTTTGCTCCCTTTCATGACCATAAAGAGCAGTGACAGAGGGGACAGGGTAAAAGCCGGAACGGGTGGAACGGGCATTAAACACACAAAAGTGCCGCAAAAAGCACTGGGATGCATTACAGGCACTCCAGAACAATATTCTAGAAGTGAAGGAACTCCCCCACTTTTATTAACCCTTTCCAAGCCAAAATGCCTCCGGAACACCACAGAACGAGCATTAAACAAACAATAGTACCACAAAAAACTGTGGGATGCCTTAAAGGCACTCCAGAATAATATTCTATAAGTAAAAACAGGTACTCTGACACTTTTATTAACCCTTTCCAGGCCAAAATGCCTCCGGAACACCATGGAACAAGCCAGAAGGGCACTAAAGAAACAACAGTACCACAAGAAGCACTGGGGTGCATTACAGGCACCCCAGAACAATATTTTGGAAATCCAAAGCAGAGATACTGTGCACTTATTAACCCTTTCCAGGCCAAAACATCTCCAGAACACCTCGGAACATGCCGGAATGGATATTAAATAAACAATAGTACCACAAGAAAATGTGGGATGCCTTAAAGGCAATCTAGAACCATATTTTGGAAATCCAAACACAGAGATACTGTGCACTTATTAACCCGTTCCAGACCAAAACACCTCCAGAACACCTTGGAACGGGCATTAAACAAACAATAGTACCGCAAAAAACTGGGATGCATTACAGGCACTCCAGAACAGTATTCTAGAAGTGAAAACACAGAACTCTCACACTTTTATTAACCCTTTCCAGACCAAAATGCTTCTGGAACACCCTGGAATGGGCCGGAACGGGCACTAAACAAACAATAGTACCGCAAAAAACATTGGCACTCCAGAAAAGTATTCTAGAAGTGAAAACACATAACTCTCACACTTTTATTAACCCTTTCCAGGCCAAAATGCCTCCGGAACACCCTGGAATGGGCCGGAACGGGCACTAAACAAACAATAGTACCTCAAAAAACAGTGGCATGTGTTACAGGCACTCCAGAACAGTATTCTAGAAGTGAAAACACGGAACTCACACTTTTATTAACCACTACAAAGACACCCCCACTTTATTTTCTCCATAGGGAACCAATCAAGGTAACCACAAGGAACTCTCCACTATACAGCCCCCCAGAAGGCGGCACCTCAGTCCCAACTAAACTCTGCTCTCCAGTTCAGATTTAAAACTGCTGTTTCTCTCTCTCTTACACATACATGTACACATAGAGTGAGAGAGAGAATACCTGTACTGATCTCTAGTCTGCTTCTTACAGGTATTGTCTATGCAAGACAACATTCACAGACAATTAACATTTGGGTTTTTAACAAAATCCCTGACTCCCATCACTTTTCTAGGCCAAACTGTATTGTAGTTGTATTAGATCTGTGTCTGATGAAGGGAGGTTTGACTTCTCAAAGGCTTGCTCCCTGAAACTCTTGTTGGTCTCCAAGGTGCTACCAGGCTCGAATCTATCTGTTCTACTGCAGACCAACACAGCTACTCTACTCTACTATGATATTAGATCATAGTAATGGGATGGGCAAATTCACAATAGCATCCTCCTGCCTAAATATGATGACCAGTTAAACCTTTACTCAAAAGCAAAACAAAAGCCAGTGAGTGGTGGAGAGTGTTGGTCAGACTTGGACTGCAGAGGGTCAAGTTCCACTCTGCTTAGCCATTAAGAAATCACTGTTAACCTACAAGCCTATTGTGAGCTAAATCCCATCTGAGACTCTCTGTCCCTTGAAGGGTGAGGACCAATGTTCCCTCTAAGCTGTGGAATCTTGTGAGCAAAAATTCTACTTTGTGAGCGACTGGCATTAAAGCTGTGAGCGAGCGATCTGGCTACTGCATAAATTAGTTTGCTCTAGAGCCGTCCTTCCTGAGCTAAGACAAAAATGTGTGAGCCAGAGGCTAAAAAACTGTGAGCTGGCTCACACTAACTCGGCTTAGAGGGAACATTGGTGAGGACATAAATGTGATATAAAAAGCAAAGACAAAATATTCAAAACATGACTTGCTGACGCCATGCATAATGTTCAGAGTGTAAAACAGTGAGCATGGAATAATCTAGTACAGCCAGCTCCTGCAAAGATTCTTCAGGTCTAGTCCAGGCGATTTATGCCTTGATTACTAAAAGGCTGCAAACTGGAAACCATTTGGCTGATTAAAATTCCACAGAAGGCTTTGGGGCTATTTCAGAGTCTGTGGTTGGCAGCTCACAGCCTGTTGTGAAGCAATAACAGAGGTCATGCATATAAAGTGCAGCAGCTAAGCATGCACACCAGTCATGTGCCTTGTGTCCTCTTCTTTCACCTTTGCTCCATTCTGGTATTCCACCATGCCATGCACAACACAGCAGCCTCTCATTCTGCCAAGATGTTCAGAATCAGCACATTTGTAAAAAAGACCTGGATTCTCTTGCAAGTGTGCTTGTGTACTGCTCTAGGTAAACTTTTTATGATCTTATTCCCAGCTACTGTAAAGAGCTATATATTGAGACAAGGGGAAAAGAGCAGCATGGGGAGGAATCCCAAATTCATGTATGAGAACTGGGGACCCACTTTCTTTAGCTTCCCCTACCTACTCTTTGTCTTGAAAGTCAAATGGAAAAGGCTGGAAGATGAAGCGTTTCAAGGCTGCCCTGCTCCCAACACCCCCGTGATAGATCTTGGAGGGGAAGTTCGTCACATCTTGGATTTCATGCAAGGTAAGTGAAATCAACCTGGGTCTTGATTCAGCTGGGACACAAGGAATTTCAGAGATGGAGCAATGGCTGCAACTGTTGTGTACAAGCAGGTAGGGGGTTGCAGTACAAATAAGCTAGAAGAAATTGAACTACTGCAAGTATGCAATTAGTGGTTTTAATATTGGTCTTCCAAGTGAGTACAAAATTACAAAATGTACAGTAACAGCAACATTTTGTATTCCAGATGATATATTAGGGTTGCCAAGTGGGGGCGGGGAAACCCCCGCTTTAGAGGCCCGATTTCTGCCGCGGCGGAATCGGGCCCCAGGGGGAACTCCGCCCCCCGAAGCTGCGTCACCAGAGTTGTATAACAGAGCCTGAGCTTTGGTCTGTTATACAACAGGAATGAACACTACAAACATTTAGGATTGATGAAGAATCCATTTGGAATATTTGTGACTGTGTGAGGGCACTTCTTTATGAGTTTTGATGTGTGAGGAAGTCATCACGAAACGGAACACCAACTCTGGGGAATTTCGTCCATCTATATATCATCTGGAATACAAAATGTTGCTGTTACTGTACATTTTGTAATTTTGTACTCACTTGGAAGACTAGTATTATTACAACCTCTAATTGCATACTTGCAACTGTTGTTTGTCAATGCAGACAACATGCCATGCCATAATAAGCACAAGTCATAGGCTTGGATCCTAACCAGCAGAAAGGGGGGAAGGAATTTTTACCAATTCTCCCCTCCCTCTGCAGACCCTAATTTCATCTCCCGGATAGTTCTCAGGGACAGGATTTGGGGGAATGTGGCAGGCTTCAGTGGGAGGAGAATACTGGGAAATTCTTGCATCTTGAATTCTGTCCTCACCTAGCATACGGTCCAAACTATAATCTGCAAATCCACTCTAAATCACAGCTTCTGATTCTGGTTTACTGGCTGGCTTCAGACTATGTTTTGCTGGTGCAGATACCATGGCAAGTCATAGTGGGTTGGATGCTACCACTCTGTTCTGACAGTAATAAAACATTGCTTTGGTGCAAGGAGTCTTTACTGAGGCAAAAGACTCTTCTAGAAAACCCTCTTGTATTGAAGTTAAATGAACTACCACCAATGCAACTGAGTGATAGAATCCAACCCAATATATTCAAATAGCTGAGGACTGCTACCCCCCGCAGCCAAACTTAAAATTTAACTGTCTAAAGAATTATTTTCAACATATTGGAGGGGATCACAGTTTCTCAGCTTAATGTGTAAATTAATGATTTTAGGGGTGGGCAATCAGCTTTTAAAAATAACAATGGGTTGGTTTGCCTTTTCAGTTTTTCCAGAACATAGGAATATAAACTTATAATGTATTTATAGTCGATCCCTGGGGGAGGGGGACAAACATTTAAGAGCTTGATTCTCAAGAGTTTTTTCAGTTAGCAGATTATATATAGGAAGCTCTGCACTATAGTACAATTCTTCTGCCTGTAGTCCAGAAGAGTTGGCACTTATGAAAGCACATGGCTGCCCCAAAATATTGCTTAGAGAAATAAGTTCACACTGTACTTTGCTCTCTCTTTCAACACGCTCATAAATCATTAAGCTGCACTTTCCAGTAGGCAATAAGTAAATACGCTGCCTCTAAAAATGCAGATACAGTTATAGGAACAGGGAGCTGAAGCATGGAGGAGTAGGTGGTTGTACCTTACCAGCGTCCAGGGGAGAGGGGGGGGGCAACCCAAGCGGCAAACTAATTATATGTATATAGTCTGTTATGACTATTTAGAGCCAAAAATACATTTTTTCCTGTCATAACTCATGAGATGATAAATCTATGCTGGAATTGGAGACCCATGCTGCGTGTTTGGACCAGGACAAGGGAAATTATTCACGGGCACGCGTGCATACACACGCACACTAACAATGACATTGTATAGTTAAATTGTCACAAAAAGTTTGGTCCCAAATATGCTTGGAGGACACAGTTAAGGGGATCTCTAGAGGTAATTACAAACATAAGGGGCAATTTCATGAAGAAGAAGAAAATGTATTTGGGTTGGATCCCAGCTAGCTTTTTCACTCAGTCTCACTCAATTCCCCTCTTTGCTTCAGTCACCATCACACATATCCTTTTATCCATGCAGTTCCAGAAAGCTAGTTGGATCAGACCCAGTAGAATCCACGTAGGTTGTAGATGCAAGCCAACAAAGTACTGGAGAGCTTCAGTAAATCTATATATATAAAAGAAAGTCCCCTCACTGTAAAATCAATGCCCAGGCCAAACCACTGGACCTACAGACACCAAATTCGGGGAGAGCGCTCCTACCGTGGCGTAGGTGCTTGCTAAGAAGGGATTTTTAGAAATCCAACCCCTAAGTGGTCAAAAGGGGGAAAATGTGCTCCCCCCATTGATTCCTATGCGGCTGCCAGAGCAAAACAATCCAGGAACACAAGTAGAGAGGCCATCACTTTTGTGGAAGGTAGCAGGAGTTGACTTAACAGATGACTGCTTCTTAAATGGACAGTTCTATGTGGCCTGCTCCAGAGTGAGCTCATCAAGCAGCCTGGTGATCCTAGCACCGGAGGGCAGAACCACCAATGTGGTCTAGAGAGAGGTCCTTCAGTAGAGGGGGGGAAGTACGTATGTCTCACTTCATTTCTTACACTACAGTCTTCTCCATTAGAATTCCTACAACAAGTGTTACATTTCAGACTTCACATCATCAGAATTATAACTGGATTTATGGAACTTAAATACTGTAGCGAAGCATGGGTATCAGGCTAGTGCTCTATAAATCTGTTGTCAAAGGTTTTCATGGCCAGAGTTCATTAGCTGTTGTAGATTTTATGGGTTGTCTGGCCGTGGTCTTGGCATTGTAGGACCTGACGTTTCACCAGTAGCTGTGACTGGCATCCTCAGAGGTATAACGGAGTAAATAGGACCCAGCAATTCAGATAACAAAGACAAACAACATATTGCTGAACAAGTTCATAATATAATGAATAATACAATAAGGATGCTATTTTGATAGTTGTTTTGTTTCAACAGCTGAATACATCAAGAGACCGAAGTCTCAACGCAGGCAGGACGAACCTTCCCAGGCTTGACTGTCCGTTTCGACCTTACGTCTTTATCAAACGTCAGTTCGTAGAAGTCTGTCTTCAATACATGATTCTCAACAATATGTGCAAAATTTCAAAGGTGGCTGCTTCAATACCATGAGAGCTTGAAGCAGCCACCTTTGAAATTTTGCACATATTGTTGAGAATCATGTATTGAAGACAGACTTCTACGAACTGACGTTTGATAAAGACGTAAGGTCGAAACGGACAGTCAAGCCTGGGAAGGTTCGTCCTGCCTGCGTTGAGACTTCGGTCTCTTGATGTATTCAGCTGTTGAAACAGAACAACTATCAAAATAGCATCCTTATTGTATTATTCATTATATTATGAACTTGTTCAGCAATATGTTGTTTGTCTTTGTTATCCTCAGAGGTATAACACGGAAAGACAGAGTACTCTCTGTGTCAAGGTGAGAAGAAAAATGGTAGGCAGGTAATTTATATATCTACTCAGGAAGGTGGGTGACTCAGCACTACCCCAACTTCCTGAGTAGATATAAATTACATGCCTACCATTTTTCTTCTCACCTTGACAGAGTACTCCGTCTTTCTGTGTTATACTTCTGAGGATGCCAGTCACAGCTACTGGCAAAATGTCAGGTCCTCCAATGCCAAGACCATGGCGAGACAATCCGGAAAATCTACAACAGCTCTATAAATCCATAATATAAACATAAGCAGATACAATAGAGGGAGAATAGAACTTCTTATCCCTATTAAGTGAATGCCTAATTTTTTTTAAAAAAAAAACCACTCCCACTTAGATAATTCTTACCAGTGGTGACAAGAACACCTTTTAGTCTAGATGTACTTCTTGTAAAAGGTATCATAGGAAGTGAAGATCCATCTTAAATTTCAATATATATCATACTCTCCAACCCAACATGCCACCATGGCACTGGATTGTATTCATCATAAAATAACCTTTCTACATTTACTAGTGTTACTTTTTTGAACTGGGGTTCTTTGTTGTGTTAGTGAATATTCTGGTTTAATGTGTGGGGCAGAGTACATCTTTCCCCACTGGATCACTCAGGCTTTGTGTTTTTATTCTGAGTGTCCTAAGTACAGGGCAATGCAGCAGAACTCTTGTCTCCCTGCTGCTTTCACTATAAAACCATCCTTGTACTTCACGGACTGCTTTACACATGTTGCAGATAACAGGCCTTTGGTTCTGACATTTGGAAGCTGCACCTGACCTTCATTTATGTTCAAATTTGGCGAGTTCAAGAAGCTTGTCGAAGATTTCATATTTGGAGCAGATTTCCTTGTGATCTACGTTGAAGAAGCCCACGCTTCAGGTAAAATAAGGTTGCTGCATAAAGTGCAGAATGTAATAGACAACTTTCCAGAAAATATTTTAAATTTCCCCTTTAGGATCCCATTAGTGACATGAGTAAATCTTATAGCCTCAGTTCCTAACAATTTGCTACTCCCAGCAGGTTTACCATTCTGTAATCTTTTAGGATATTAATAAATGTAACCATGGATAGAAGCTATTTACTCAATGTAATCATTATGTTTGTTTCAGATGAATGGGCTTTTAAAAAAAATATTTCTATTAAAAGTCACCGTACTCTCCAAGACCGCATACAGGCTGCACAGATCCTTTTGGAAGATTCGTCCCTTGTGCCCAGTGGTTTTAGATACTATGGAAAACAAAAGCAGTTCTAAATATGCAGCTCTGCCAGAAAGACTTTATGTGCTTCAAAGAGGAAAAGTTGTCTATAAGGTAACAAAATGCCAGCAATTTGGTGAAAATCCTTACAATAATAAACAAAGAATGCATCAGTATTAGTTTGGCTAATCTTAATTTCTTCTATTGACAGAGAAAAATAAATGTCAAGAATGACATGGAAGAATTCCCTGTATACATCAATAGTGAAATTTCCTATCAAATCTCAAAAGTGAAGGCTGTCTGTATAGCAATATCTGCTTATAGGGTTCACTTGTCTGTGTATTTAGCTAAACATACTTTCTGAATGCAGGCAAATGATTGTACATACCATTATTTTACTGCAACATGAAACTATATACAGAGCTTCAGAACTGTGTCCCAAACCTAAAAATCAAGATCTGGATATTTTCTACTGGAATTTATAAAACCCTTTGTGGCTTATTGCTCTTAATCCAATAATCATTTCTGAATCAATATTAAAAACTATGAAATATGAAGATAGCTTGACAGAAAGTTTATACAACAATTTTTTGGTAATTTTAAATCTGTATCAGACTTTAGGTTATGCCTGATATAGGTTATGACTTCCTTTAAATTAAAGCACTAGCATTAACTCCTCTCTCTCACTCATACACATGGCACATTCATGCAAATGGATGATGGCCACAGTAAGAAAACCAACTTCAGGAGGCTGCAGTTTTGAACTGAGAAGAGAGGGATGCTTTCCCCACCTGCAATATTTCAGCTATAGGTCACCAACCCATTTGCTTTCACCACCTCTAGGATTCCAGATGCATTAGGAAGATTAAACATGTATCTAGAATCCTGCAGTGCAGAAGCTTAGGATCAAATCTGGAACAGAGAAATGGCTGCTAGAGAAGTCACTAAGCGCTATTGCTTCTCTGCTCAATACTGTAGCTTTCAAAAGCTGCTCTTCTAAACAAAAACTCACTAGAACATAATAGTGAACTGTTTGCATGTAACACTGTATTCTTGGTGCTGGGGGTGGCAACAGTGGGAGAGCTTCTAGTGTCCCGGCCCCACTGATGGACCTCCTGATGGCACCTGGTATTTTTAGCCACTGTGTGACAGAGTGTTGGGCTGGATGGGTGAAGTGAATCATACTCAGGCAGCTCTTAACCAAGTGATTTCAACTTTATTAACAAGAACGATTAAACACAAGAAAGCCATAGGAGCCAGAACTCCTTTTAAACATCCCGGGCTGGGGAAACCACGCCCAGTAGAACGGTAAGAACCAATCATATTTACACAATAAAGACCAATAGACTGTTTTCCCTCCAAGTACACTGCTATGCTTTGATTGGCCTGCTGTCAGGAGCAGCCAATGAGAACTGTCAGATCAGGATACTGGGCTTCTATGGAGCTTACGTAGTATGTAGTTCATAGTCCAGTACATAACAATGGGCCATTGGCCTGATCCAACATTCGCTTCTCTTATGTTCTTATGTATTTACATGGGCCTTTAGCTTCCAGAAATCTAGAAGGAAGACTAAGATTAGGTCCACTGATCCATCCACAGAAAGCCAACCATTTCTAACCCCAAGGAAGTTGATTCCTGAGTCATAGGACTAATGTGCTATAATAACCATACAGGCTGGTGGACTGCAGTGAAGAGGGAAAATGTGGCAAAATTACCATTCTTTCCTCTTTTGTCAATGGAGCTGCTTCTTCTGTCAACAGAGCTCCACTGATGGACAAGGCAGAAGGAAGTGATTTCTCCCCCTGCCCCCTCACTGCAGCCCGCCAGTTCACATTGCTGTGACACCATATGGGCCCTGCAACCCCAGAAATCGACTTTCCAGGGAGTCAGAAGGGACTGCTGGGAAGAAAGTGGAGAAGATCCATGAGCCCTGTGTGAGTGGAGTGCTGGACTGACTGGATTTTTTTTAAGTGTTAACCAATTTGATTTCTATTTGAGATATAATTATTAAATTATCTGCCATGCTTTGTCACACAGGTTTTCAAAAAGATTACAGATACCTTAGAAATGTCTTTTGTCAGTCTTTTCTGTACCATCCCTCTTCCCAATAATTCTTCAGACTAAACTCACGGGTAAATATGTATTTTTTATTTTACAGGGTGGAGTGGGACCTTGGAACTATAGCCCTCAAGAAGTGCGTGAAGTTTTGAAACAACTACTCTAAATGTGTAAAGCAAACCTACTAGTGGCTCCCTAAAGTGAGCAAAATAATTACTCCATAATCTGCTGGTTCATTTTAAAAAGGATTAATATTCATTTAGAAAATCTTGTATATATTTGAAGAGAGTAAATCCCATCCATATGCGGAAAATGGGCACTGTCCACTGTGCACCTATCATTACCCCTACATAGGTCAAGTACACACAACAGATTAATCATGTGGTAACTGCAGTAGTCCCTTGCTTATATGACACTGATAGCTTAAATCAGTATGGCCTAAACACATGCAAATAAGGGTTTAGTAGCCACCTGAAAACCAACTTATAGAAGTGGCTACATGCTGCAAGCCTTTCACATGAAGCAACCCATCAATCACTTCTAACTATTTGGAATCCATCAACAGCGGGTGGTAAAGTGAGGTAAATTGTCAGAACTGCTTAGCAAGTAGCTTCACAAGAACAGCTTGTCTTGCGGAGTAGCCTCCACATAGCTGAACAATGTAAATAATAACCTCCCTCCTTGGTTGCCAAGTGGCCATGAGGTTTTCCAACTCAGACCACACCCTAACTATTGGAACTGCCAGAACAATGTTTGAGTCAAGTGCCACCTTTAAACCCAACAAAGTTTTATTCAAGGTATAAGCTTTTGGGTGCATACACACTTCTTCAGATATCCAAAGAAGTGCGCTTGCACACAAAAGCTTATACTTTGAATACAACTTTGTTGAACTTAAAGATGCCACTGGACTCAAATTTTGTTTTGCTGCTTCAGACCAATACGTTTAGCCACCTGAATCTACTGGAACTGCCAGACTGTGACGACGTTGAATGTGAGAAACCTTTATTTTGAATGACCCAGACTATTGCATGCTTGGGTGAAAGATGCTCACACATTATGGCAAGTTGCACATTTGCATGAATGTGCAGGCATACGCTTCCCATGAGATGAATCAAGCAAACATACACAGCCTCAGCATTTTCCCCTCAGCACACAATGGAGACTCTTGGGATCATGCCAATGCTTCCAATAAGGAAATATACTATAAGAACTTTCTGAACTGTTGTAATAACTTGCTGTTGTTTTTATTTATATTTGTTTATGATAGTCACAGCTAAAAACTTGGGCAGCTGTGACCTGATTTAGAAAAAATATTTATAGAAACAAGATGCTAAACCATACTTATTAAACCATGTCACACAATCTTCATAGGCTTTAACTTGTTATTTTGAACTATACTTTTCTGAAATTTTGGATTGTCACATGAACAGAAGAGTTATCACAAACAAGAATGCTGGGTAGTGCTTTTACATTTGTTTCTTGCAAGTTACCACAATTAGCTTCCATTTCTTGTAGCTTGGAGAACTTTGAAGAAACAAGTTTGGCTGCATTTGTCCATCTTTGTAAGGAGAGTAAATGACATTAGACAGGATCCAGAGTCACTTAAAGCATGATCAGATGTTTGTATGAACCTAGTGTGATACCTTTTGCTTTGAACAGCAGAAATCTCAGTTTAAAAAACAGATTTGCTGTGTGACATGAAAGGCTGCACTTTGTGAAAATGCAAACACCCCTGGCTGTGTGGAATTAGTCAAATGGTTCTTCATGGTATGTGTACATATCAGTTTGCATACAAAGATCATTGAACTTCACAAACTCACTGACAGGGGCATTAACTTCCCAAACATACAAAAGTTAGTCATTCCCATGCATATAGTTCACCACACTCTGGATTTCTAAATATATCTGAAAACATGACATGTTTACATTCCTCACTTCAAACAGCACAGAATAAGCCAAAACTCAGCAAACAGAACACTGGGTTACAACAGTTCACACTTAAAATAGCCAAAAGTTAGCAAAGGGTGGAATTTGAGTTAGGAATTCAAACTCAAAAGTTGTCATCAGTGTGGGACCTACCCTGTGTAGTTCCACAGGGTGCAATTCTATTCCCCATGCTTTTCATTCTCTATGAAAAGCCCTGAGGACAAATAATTCATAGCTTTGGGGTTGGATGTCATCAATATGTGGACGATTCCTGGCACTATATATCCAGATCAGCTGGGGATGCAGTAGAGGTCTTGACTGGCTGCTGTGGTAAATTGGTTAAGAGTGAACAGGTTAAAACTAAACCCTGAAAAGACAGAGGTAATGCTGGTTGGGAAAGCAGAGATCTTGAAGGACATCGTGCTCCCCACTTTTGATGGAGTTCACCTGACCCCTGCTGACTCAGTTGTCCTTTGGGGTTATACTGAACCTAACGTTATTACTGGAGAAGCAAGCTAATGCAATTGCAAAAAAGGCTTCCTTCCAACTCAGCCTAGCCTGAAAGATGGCCCCTTAACTTTAATACAGCTGATCTGGCTACCTAGATCCACGTCACAGTAACACTGAGAATAAACTATTTCAATGCACTGTACATTCGTCTCCCCTCAAAATCAATTTGGAAAATTGTTTGTTAAGAACAGAGCTGTCAAACATGTGGCCTGCAGGCCAGATCCGGCCCCTGCATGGCTGGTATCTGGCCCACAAGCAACTGGCTCTCCCCTGCTTCCTTCTCCCAGCCACTGCTGCATTGCCAAGCCTCTCTTTCTCCTTTAGGGAGGAAGCGAGGGGGAATGAAAAAGAGAGCACATATGTACACACCAAATAAAGCTCCCTCTACTCTCTCCTGCTTCCTCCTCTGGGGCTGCTGCTGTGTTGCCAAGCCTCTCTTCCCTCCTTTGGGGAGGAAGCAAAGGGGAAGGAAAAAGAGAGTGCATGTGCACCACAGAAAACTCTCTCAATGCTCTCTCTTGCTTCCTTCTCCGGGGCGGCTGCTGCGTTGCCAAACCTCTCTTCCCTCATTTGGAGACGGACAGAGGTGGAAGGGCCAGAGAGTGCACGCAAGAAAGAGAAGGAGTCCCATGGCACCTTTAAGACCAACAAAGTTTTGTTCCAGGTATAAGTTTTCCTGTGGATACACACTTCTTTAGAGGGAGAGAGAGGGAGGGAGGTTCTTCTGACAAGCCTTGCTCTGCTATTTGCTTTGAGACCTGATCACACACAGACACACGTTAAAAAAGGAAAGAGATGCATCTGGGATAAGGGGAATTAAAGGGAAATTATTTTGGCTTTTTCTGAAAAGTTGGGTTTTTTAAGATTAGATTTCTCTGTGCCTATCTGGGATTTTATATTCTTTCAAAAAGACCCTGATTAGGAATTACAACACTTGAATTGGATTCCATGGTTAAATGACTGGAAATATATGGCTAAGTATTTAAAAATACATTTATGGTTCCAAATATTCCTATTCAACACATTGTTTTTCCGTCTCTCCACTTCCACCTCACTGGCTGCCTTTCTTCACATTAAACCCCCCCCCATTGCTTTTGAAATTTTTTATTATCATCACTAGCAGTGAGCATATTTTGCCCAGTCTGAAAGCAACACATTATTTCACTTGGAGAGATCCCCTTTACATTTCTAACAGATAATAATGATGATGATGATGATAATAGAAAAAGAAACCTACCACCACAGTTTGCAATCTTTATTAGTGGAAGAGTGCCAAAGTCCAGTAGCACCTTAATGACTAACAAAATTCATGGCAGGACATGAGCTTTTATCAGTCACTGCTCACTTCAAATAAAATTGTTTTGTTAAAAAAAAATACAGCTAGAATGCAAGTCCATCTGTCCTTATATCTTGGAGAGTGAAGTGATTTCAGATGCCAAATAACAATAGCAGCCATTGGTAATGAGAGAAGAAACCTAGATCTCAATTCAGCCCAGAAGGATGCATTGAGCTTCATTATCAGTTGCAATTCAGCAGTTTCTCTTTCTAATCCCCCTTTAAAATTCCTTTGTAAAAGAACTGCTACTCTTAGGTCAGCAACTGAATGTCCTGGAAGTTTAAAATGTCTTCCCCACTGGTTTTTGAATGTTGTAGTTTCTTATAGCAGCAGAAAGAGTTCAGTAGCACCTTGACAACTAACAAAATTTATGGCAAGGTAAGAGCTTTCGTGAGTTGCTGCTCACTTCTTCAGGCTTATGTCCATTTATTCTTTGCATCCTCCTGGCCTGAATCCTCCTGAACCAAACTGAGACCTAGGTGTCCTGTCTCATTACCAATGATGATAGATCCATGCCTACTACTCCTCTGCATATCACACCTAATCCAATCAAGCCTATTGCCATTTGGCATCTGAAATAATCGTTATAAAGTTTTAATCTCTGTTGCCTTGTGTTACATTTTATGGCACACATGGTCCAGCCCAACAAAGTGACATTTATGTGAGATCCGGCTAGTTTGATGTAGTGGTTAAGTGTGCGGACTCTAATCTGGGAGAAACGGGTTTGATTCCCCACTCCTCCACTTGTACCTGCTGGATGACCTTGGGCAAGCCATAGTTCTGGCACAGCTGTTCTTCAAAAAGAGCAGTTTCTGTCAGAGCTCTCTCAGCCCCACCTACCTCACAGGGTGTCTGTTGTGGGGAGAGGAGGGGAAAGGAGTTTGTAAACCGCTCTGAGACTCCTTTGGGTAGTGAAAGGCGGGGTATAAATCCAATCTCTTCTCTTCTTCTTGTAACAAATGAGTTCAACACCTCCGGTTTAGAAAACTACAGACTTGGCTATTATCAGGAGCTAGACAGAGCATGCATATTACTCCCACCCTGCAGGCACTTCACTGACTGCCCGTCAGTTACTGGGTTCAAATTAAGATAAATGCTACCACATGTAAAGTCGTTCATGGCCTTGGTCCTTCATATCTGCAAAACTGTGTGCCATGACAGCTTTGCTAACTGGAGCAGGATCTTCTGCAGGTGCCAACCTGTAAATGGGCAAAATCAACAAATGCCCATACATGTGCCTTCTTTGTTGTGGGCCCCACCTTGTGCGTGAGGTCAGGAAGGCTCCAACTCTCATGGCTTTCCACAAACTATGCAAAACTAAATTATTCGAGAGGGCTTTTCTATGCAGGCAATAGAGTTGCACTGCACTAAGTGATTCACAAAGTTACTCAGAAAAATTATTAGGGACTGTGGTCTATACTACTGTGTATAGTTTGCTGAAGCTAGGATCCTACTGTGTAATTTTTGCATCATTTAATGTGACATTTTATATTTATGCTTTGCTTCAGTTCTGTTTTTAGACTTCTGGTTGGTTCTACAACCCAAATCCTACTGCACTGTTTACTGAATGTCCCATCCATCAATTTTATTGACTCACTCTGTGCAATCCCATCTTAAATCCAAGTGAGAAAGGCAGGCTATGAATAATGTAAATAAATAACATAAATCAACAAATAAAAATAAAAACTAGGGCAAGCCCTGAATGCAGACTTCTACATTTATATGCTTCAACAATTTTTGCACTAGGGGACTGAGGGGTTCCAGTGGCAGCTGTTAAAAAAATGCTTATAGCTGTACTTACAAGGGGATTTTGTGTCAGAACTTTCTGCCTGAAGAAACAATTCCACAGCAAAATCATATAAAATACTCATTTTGCAAAACATTCTTTAATGGAATGCATATATCAATACCATATTATTACTATTTTTCTGATTACAGTTCTTCAACCTTGGTTTTAAATATCTTGTGCTATTCCTTCTGCTATTACCCTATGAACTGACACAAAAGTATCAAAGGCGGATAAAATGATGAATCTCAGGTGCGTAGCCTGGAACTCAGGAAACTGTCAAAAGAAGAGAGAAAAATATTAATAGCAATAGAAATAAAAAGATGAACTCAATCCAACCCAAACTAGGCATTTAAAATCTCAAGTAATTTAAATGGAAGACATTTTAGCATGTGCTTAACACTTGGACAGAAATGAATGGGAGTTTTTGGCCAGATCATGTTTGGCTTGTGTTAGACACTCAGCATAGGAAACAGCCAACTGCAGCCCCCTCCTGGGAATGCTATTCCCCCCCACCCGAGCAGCCTTGCATGTGCCAATGGAGCCCCCCCTGCTCTTTCAGTTCATCATTCAGTTCATCATTCTGTGTTTATTTTCAATATTTTTAAAATTCAGCTATGATATCAATTTAGCCATATAAGCACACGTTAAAATGAAAAGGTATGTGTCGGGGTGCTGTGATGCCACCAATGACAACAGCACCTTCTCAGAATCCTGATTATTTAAGGAACATGTGGAAGAAAATAAACTGACTCTACAACTGTGAAAATGCAGAAGGAAGATGAGCAGAACTGTACCCAAACAGATTCCGATGCTTGTGGATCAACTACCAAGAAAATCAAAACTAAGTTGAAAATGCAGAAAAGCCCTGAAATACAGAGGATTGTATTACATAGAAACATATGTTTTGCAAATAAATGTCAAAAATGTTGAGACTGTCATGAATAAATGTACAAAATGCATAAAAGATCAGTGAGTGGGGACAATCCTTGTAACAGTCACTGACAACATTTACCACAGTAACTTAATAATTTCAGTCCCATAGGATGATTAACAGTCTCTGAATTTTGGACAATGACTATACAATACTATTGTATGTAATAATCATGAAGCTCCCTTTTCAAGTTTTATTGTGGATGTTTCTAAACCTCTTTCAGACATCTTAACTGGGCTAATTCAAGGTGTTTTTCAAACTTATCTGTTCTTGTACATGTAACAATAATAATGATATGCACTCACAGAAAATTCTTCTGTTTGAAGCTCCCCTTCTTTATATTCCAAGTCTAAACATTTAAAATTGTACAAATTAATATGCAATATGTTGTTAAAAGATTCCATCAAATAAGATTTACAGCACTGTAAAGTATCATTAAGAAAGAATTAAATCCTGACTTCAATGAAATGACTCAGTTATGTTTTATAAATTTCATTGGGGGCCAAGATTTAACCTTGTTAAATTAAAGTTAGATTAAAACAAGCTGGGGCCTGTAGGGAAGGGAAATTTCTCATCTTCTCTCCCCCCAAGATTCCCATTGCTATTTAGCTCAAAGGAAGCAGATTCCACTTGCATTTGGTGCTTCCTCCGTTCTCTCCATGGCTTCAAATGCCCCTTTATGGCTGGATTCTTATGCTCCCTTACCTTTGAGTATGCACTACTGAATACAGAGAGACTTCCTTTTGAGTAGACAGGTAAAGGTTGCCCAGTTCTAGTTGCCCACCATCAAGAAATAATAATGACCATAGAAATCAGAGGAAATTCCCTTGAAGTGACAACACATCATCCCCAAACTCCACTTTCCCAAGCACCAACCCCCAAATCTCCCAGCATTTGCTTAGGTAGTGTTGGGAGCCCTAACTCCTTCTCTTAGTTTAATTTCTTGGGACTGCCATCGGGAGAGTTATCCTGGGCAGATCTGACCCAACACAGGAACAGCCAGTACTGCCAAAGAGCTGGGTAATCCACTACCAGTCCCGTTATGGGATTAATAGGAGGGGCCATAATATTCATCTATGAGAAACCAAAACCTAAGTGGAGCAAGCATAGGAGAGGTGCAGCAAAAAAAACAGGCTCATAAATACCGCTCCTTTGGCTACCACATTTATAATCTGCCTTGGGTCCCAGTCAGAAAGGCGGACTACAAATGAAAATAATAAATCTTGGCCCCATGAGTGGTTGGCCAGGCAAGGCAGATTTTCTGGCTCCTGTGTACAGGAAACTTCATGCCTCTGGTTGATAGCTGCACAGATTGGAAGGGAAATTTCCTCCTTGGGAGGAAAGTGATGGCAAACCTAGACAGCATAATAAAAAGTAGAGACATCACCCTGCCAACAAAAGTCCATATGGTCAAAGCAATGGTATTTCCAATAGTAATGTATGGCTGGTCACCACACCTCAAAAAGGATATTATAGCATTGGAAAAAGTGCAGAAAAGGCCAACTAGAATGATAAAAGGGTTGGAACACTTTCCCTATGAAGAAAGGTTAAAAACGCTTGGGGCTCTTTAGCTTGGAGAAACGACGGCTGAGGGGTGACATGATCGAAGTTTATAAGATTATGTATGGGATAGAGCAGGTTGAGAAAGAAGTACTTTTCTCCCTTTCTCACAATACAAGAACTTATGTATTCATGAATAAATGTACAAAATGCATAAAAGATCAGTGAGTGGGGACAATCCTTGTAACAGTCACTGACAACATTTACCACAGTAACTTAATAATTTCAGTCCCATAGGATGATTAACAGTCTCTGAATTTTGGACAATGACTATACAATACTATTGTATGTAATAATCATGAAGCTCCCTTTTCAAGTTTTATTGTGGATGTTTCTAAACCTCTTTCAGACATCTTAACTGGGCTAATTCAAGGTGTTTTTCAAAGTTATCTGTTCTTGTACATGTCACAATAATAATGATATGCACTCACAGAAAATTCTTCTGTTTGAAGCTCCCCTTCTTTATATTCCAAGTCTAAACATTTAAAATTGTACAAATTAATATGCAATATGTTGTTAAAAGATTCCATCAAATAAGATTTACAGCACTGTAAAGTATCATTAAGAAAGAATTAAATCCTGACTTCAATGAAATGACTCAGTTATGTTTTATAAATTTCATTGGGGGCTAAAATTTAACCCTGTTAAATTAAAGTTAGATTAAAACAAGCTGGGGCCTGTAGGGAAGGGAAATTTCTCATCTTCTCTCCCCCCAAGATTTCCATTGCTATTTAGCTCAAAGGAAGCAGATTCCACTTGCATTTGGTGCTTCCTCCATTCTCGCGAAGAGTCGGACTCGACTGTGCAACTGAACAACAACAAACTTTGAGATTTATTTGGATTTTTGGAAGCTTCAGGGAGGCTGCAAATTTGTGGTAACCACTTATTTTCCACTCTTTCTGTGTAATAATAATCACCATAGCTTCCATCTGCACTTTTATCATTACTTTTTGTTGCTCCCCTGGCAATTAAGGGGATTAAAAGAACAATCCTAAACAGGTCTACTCAGAAGTCTGCTGAAGTCTACTCAATGGGGCTTATTCCCAGAAAAGTGTCCTTAGGATTGTACTGTAAGACAAACTGTAGCATTTTTCTGCATACAGGTGAGATTTCTCCAAGTATGTAGAAAACCCTCTTTAGTTTGTACCTGTCCCCATTGTTCTGCTTTCATTCTCCACCCAAAATTCACCATCTTAATATTAAAGCTATTTTATCTGCTTTCCATCTCAATAAAGGAATAAAAGTGATTTAAGCGATTATGGAGATAAAAATATTCTTATAATTCTTACTATTATAGAACATATGGACTATTAGCCCAGTTGCTCCCATAGAGAAGGGGGGGAGATCTAAAGCACATAACATACAGCATCTCAATTGTATTTACAGTAGCTCTTTCAGGTAGAGTAATATAAAGGAGTACTTAATCGTGCAGTAAATGACAAAATGAAGAAATGATTCGCAATGAGATGGACGCTTCTCTAAGCAGACAACTGTAACATGGACTGACTCTGCATACGAAAGATTTTGTGAATCTCCCTTTAAATCCTGGGACTTCAAAGGAATAAAGCCCACTTTTATTCTAACACTACAGTTTTACCGTCCAATCCTATGTAGACTTGCACAGAAGTCCTACTGAGTTGTGTGACTGCCTTCCAAATAAATATACCTAGGATTGATTTGTACATCAGATTGCAATCATCCAACCAAGTATACTCACCTTTTTCAATGCAGTGTTCAAAATCTACTGGATCTTTAGACATGCTTTTTTCAATACGTAATGTCTGCACTAGACAATATTAAAAAAAACCCTCTATCAATCTCATTTCAAATTTTCCTGATTTCACATGAACCTTTTAAAAAAATCTGTAACAAAAGATAACGTAGCCTTTATTCACTTGTAAGAGATAACTGTCATAATTCCTGGAAGGTAAAATAAGTATCATATCACAGAGCTTTAAAAGGAGGACCCCCAAGGCTGGCCCTCATTTTGGAATTATCTAAACTTTCTGACCAGTGGATCCCCACCCATGTAAAAATCATACTTTTGTATTTTGGAATTCACACCCTCCCCCTATTAGCATTTTTAAGTAGTGCAGCTAACTCTGATGAAACTAGTACCTTGTGAATTACAAGTGTCTGAACTCAGATAAGGGCTCTGTGAATGCAGTGCACTGTATGTATAATGCCAGAATCTGGATGCAGTGATCTTCTCTTCCTTAATCCCAAGAATCCCTTTGGTTTGCAGTGCAGAGGACACAGCAGCCTATTCATGGGCTGACTCTAGATAGTTCTAGTTACCTAGAGCCTGCGGGACCATTTTGGATGCCAGGCCCAATGATATGGTGAGCTCAGTTCATCTCTGAGCAGCTTGAAGTTATCAAAACACCCGAAGATACAGTCACTGCTTCCTAAACCAAAAGCATATTTCAAGAGTTCCTATCTGCTACCTCCAGCTTCAATGTTCTTTTTTTTAAATGTAGGTATATTTTCACAGATGGAAATCTACCACAATGTACAAGAAATAAACTTCACACCATTAAATTCAATAACATAGAAATACATGTTGATAAAATTAATCTTTCATGAGTGTATACAACAGCTTAGAAAAGATGACAAGTGTTACCAGTCAGTGTTACCAACTGTTTGCTGAAATCTGGAAATAAAAGCCTACTTTCCCAAATATATATAAAACAATGAGATACATTTATTCTCATGAAACACAGTTTGTCTTCTTTGAAGATTAAAACATATATTATTACCAGGGATCATTTCCTGCAGGAGCGCAGCTCCGGCAGTAAAGAGCCCAGGGGGTGGGCACATGCAACAAGCCCCACCCCCTGCTCCCAGCAGCCCTCAGTCAGAGCAAGAAGCAGCCAGGTAAGTTGCAGAGGGCCCCCCAGCCCAAAACAGTCCAGTGGCACCTTTAAGACCAAGTTTTATTCAGGTACAAGCTCTCCCTCCTCTGCGAGGACAGATCTGCACGTCCTCCCCCCCCCCGGTAGCTGGCAATTCAAAACAGTCCAGTGGAGCCTGAGCGGTGGGTGTTGCCTTCTGACACACTTCCAGTGATGTCAGGGGGTATGGCATATGCAAATAAGTTAGGCTAATGAGTTATGCTAATGAGCTCCTGCACCTCTTTTTCTATGAAATGACCCCTGATTATTACAGAACATGCAGATATTTTTATCCAAATAAAACAATGATTGTCAACCTTTCCAGTTCCTGAACTCACAAAACATGGACACACTGGCATGGATACACTAGAGCTTTTCTGTGAGCAGAAGGATTTCGGTTCACAGAGTGAAATTTCAGCCTCCCCTCCCACTGTATCCCAAAATAGCCCCTCAGTGTTCCTGGGAGTCTGTCCCCCCCTCCCCCCACAGCATGTGAGAGAATTCTATGGACTGCAGATAGAAGACTGGGAGAACCAAGAGAGGTAACATAAACTGAGTACCAGGAGATGTACCATAATGAGAAATAAAAACATAATGAGAAATAAATATGACTGAGTGCCCTCAACTTTTTGTCCTGCTGCTCTTTTCCATGTGCATACAAAGGCTGAGGTGGCTCAAGTGGTTAAGACACTGAACTGCAGACCAGAAGGTCAGTAGTTCAGCAGTTTGAGACCCAAGTGCTGCATGACGGAGTAAGCTCCCGTCTCTGGTCCCAGCTCCTCCCAACCTAGCAGTTCAAAAGCAAGAAATTGCAAGTAGATAAACAGGTACCACTTAGGTTGGAAGGTAACAGCGTTCTGTGTGCCTCGGCATCTAGTCATGCCGGCCACATGACCACGGAAACGTCTTCGGACAGCACTGGCTCTTTGGCTTGGAAATGGAGATGAGCACCGCAACCCTAGAGTCGGACTCGACTGGCTTTCGAGCAAGGGAACCTTTACCTTTACCTTACAAGGAGTCAGGAGGTATGGCTTGCTCTTAGCACAAGCTCACTGGTTCAATAGAGGCACACATATCCAATCAAATGGGCTGTTACCCACCTGACAGTCCCAATTCATGGACTGAAGACCACCAATGTGAAATATGGAACATTTAGACTATATTGTTCATAAACTTAAAAAAAGTTTATATAGTATGCTATACCTATATAGTATGCCTTACCTAAATAACACTGGATTGTGAGTTTACTTATAATTACACATTTATGAAAACAAATAACAAATTCCTGTGGAAACATCCCAGTTGTTGTCCAAAATGTTTCAGATTGTCTATTGAGAGAGAAAAAGACATTCTAATATGTATTCATACAGTTGTAATATGAATAGTTCAGAATTCAAATTCATCAATGCAAAACAAAAATTTTAGATCTACTTGATAAAATATTTGAAAGAATTCACATGAGAAATGATTCTGCCTGTCGTCCACTATACCATGAGTAAAATGTTTACACAAACAGCACTGTCCTCACTGAAGATTTTAGACAACCCCTTATTATGGCAGCCTTAGTGACCCTCATCTCATCCTTAACATAGGGATAATAATAATTGCAGCCTATCACAGGGTTCTTTCAAGAATTACTGAAACAAGGTACATGAACTCTTGAAACACCTGAAGGAGCAGCATGGCTGCTGTTAAAATTATTCTTCAATGAGCCTTATTTGCAAAGTCACATATCAATTCTTAAAATTAGTACTAATATTTAGATTTCAGTTTTCAAAGCACTTCACAAACATTTGCAGTAAAATAACAATAATCCCGTAATGTGTAAACCTACCATTACTATTATTCCACTGTTACAGATGCAGGAGTGGGGCTAAAGAAGTTAAAGCTGTCCCTCGTGAGTTTATAGTAGATTATAATCATAATAAATAATCATAGTAGAGGTGACACTCAAACTCGGGATGTCCTCAACCACAGCTCATTCTCTCTGACATTATGCTCTAAGCTACAATTCTAATTACTGTTGCATTTTGCAGGAAATTTATGGTTTTACTAAATTTAAGAACTGCTAGGATTGGAAGACATCCTACATATAGCAAGTCACCAAACATTAGAAGCTAATGTGAAAGCAAAACCATACTTACCCATCAATGATATTTTCTGGAGGATATTTTTCATCACTTGATGTTGCTAGAATAACATCCGCTCCTTCAGTGCTAAGGCAAAAGTTCGTTGATCTCATTCTCTCTTCTCAGACTTTATCAAGATTCACCAAACCATTTACTGAGAATGTTGCCTAGTTGCTTAGTAGCCAATTCCACCTCTAAAGGGAAAGCCAAGCAGGGGCCGGATTACGGAAAAATTCGTTTAGCAACAGCTGGTTCCTAAATCACAGCCAGACAAACAACTCTAGAATACATTGTTATCTATGTACATCGAATTTCCAGTTTTAAACAAAATTGGGAAGCTTTGATAAACTCATTTTAAAGATATTGATACATAATAATCCTTTAAAATGAATTTTGCAGCGAACCCTCGCTATTATATTATCATGCCTCCCTATCCCTGGCTGTTTTTTCGGGTAGCACGCCGGTGCGCGTAACTGCTACATGACAAGCAGACATTCAACAGCTGAGCAAAACTTAAGCACCATTTATAATATTTACTACAAAGAAAAGCATCACAGTACCAGAAACACACCCCTACATGTATATGTTTGCTGGGTTGTTTTAAATAATATGCTGCTCTAAACGGGGCGTTTAGGCTCGGTCCTGTTGATCTTCACTCAACTGTGCAGCTGTTAAAAGATTGGTAATCTTATTAGTGCTCTCGCTTCAATCCGTTTCCATAGCAAACAAAAATGGTCCCTCCCACCCTCCCGGGGAGCGCTTCGGGTTTCGCGTCAATTACTACAGCTGCGCAGTCGCCATTCTGTAGCCAAGGAGGCGCTTCACACCATCGAGTTAGAATAGGCTAGAGGTCTCCCTTCTTTAGTCCTCGTCAGCCCTTCCGGTTTCAAAAGGAACTCGCTTTACATTTTGAAGTATTATAGGACTTCCACATAGAGATGTTAAAGGATATAGTGATGCGCCCACAGAGAACCATGGCCAAGAGCGGCTTTCGGGTTTGACCGGAAGACTAGGCTGAGTGTCTTTCCACATACTTGAGAGAGGAGGGAGGCTCAAGAGGCCTCCCAAGGTGCAAGGCCCGTCCCCTGCCAACTGAGCTGGCAGGACTTGAAGGATCGGCGCCGCCACGAGCCCCGCTTCATTCCGCCTTATGCCTCACAGGTTGGTCTCTTCTTGCCCTTACTTGAGGCCAGAGACCCCAATCTTTTTAATGCAGTGTAGAGAATGAGTAGACAGAAGTGGTGTATCGTAGAGACTGTACACTTAAGACCGCATGTGTTATATTTTGGATGTCCCCACCCCCATTAAAGAGGGCTCAGCTCTCCGCAAATAATGCGTTAGGGAGACTTGTCCCTAAAGGGGCTGTTTGCTACACGTTACGTGTTTCTTATTTTATCAGGGCCCCCCCCCCCCCAATGAAATTGCAGGTATAGAATGGCTCTCAGTGCCCTGTTAGATATGGACCCTAGTCTGCTGCGTGGCTCTGCGTCTGAATGCGTTTGGTCTGTTGGATTGTGGACATTTATCTTTCCAACCAGGATATTAAGGGCGACAGTGTCTCCTCACCTGTTTCAGGGAATATAAATATATCATACTTTGTAATAAAAGATAATAACCGAGGAGTCGAACAGCCAAGCATTTTCTAAGTATCTGCTTTATATCTTTTTAAAATGACATTTATTGAAGAGGCTTTTCAGTGCTCCTCTTTAGTCTATAGGATGTCTTGTGGCACCTTTTTAGCATTTTTTTTTGTAGGACATAGAGCCTGGAGAAGTGAAAGCTGCAAACTCTTGTATTTTCTAAATTATATCCCCATTTGATTTGTTTTATGTTTTTGTATTGTTTTTTTCTCTCACAGAAACTCTGAAAAATGTCATGCTATCTCAATGCAGAAAACAAACCAGATATGGAGTCTGTGTATATCCGGGAAAATGGGCAGCTATATAGATTAAATCAGGCTTCAGGTGGACTAAATGACCATGTTTTGAAACCAAAGCCTTCAAGACTGTTTTCCAAAGGATTCTCTGTTGAGCTCTGTATGAACAGGGAAAATGATAATGGCAGGACAGATCACTTCATCTTCACTTACACAAAGGAGGGAAATCTCCGCTATTCTGCCAAGTCTCTCTTCAGCCTAGTCTTAAGTTACATTGCAGACAACATCCATCATGTTGATTCACTGATTGGCTTTCCCGAGCAGATTGGAGAAAAGCTTTTCTATGCTGCAGATGCAAGACAGAAGTTTACAGAGCCAAGAACAGGACTCAGAGCTTTGCAAAAATTTACTGATGCTTATGGAAGTTTAGTGCTTCAGATACTGTGTTTGAAAAATAGGTAGGTGTCGTTTACCTGGATTTCAGTAAAGCTTTTGACAGGGTTCCCTATCATGTTCTGATGGGTACCCCAGAAGAGTGTGGACTGGACTCTAGGATAGTTAGGTGGATAGGGAACTGGTTGGAGAACCGCACTCAAAGAGTAGTAGTCAGTGGCATTTCATCTTAATGGAGAGAGGTGTAGAGTGGAGTGCCACAGGGCTCGGTTATGGGCCTGGTACTTTTCAATATTTTTATAAATGAACTGGATGAGAGTATGGTGGGGCTACTCATTAAATTTGCAGATGACACCAAATTGGGAGGAGCCCCACCACAAGGTGCCTGTTGTGGGGAGAGGAAGGGAAGGCTATTGTAAGCCACTTTGGACTCTTTAAAGTAGAGAAAAGTGGGGTATAACAGCTGGCCCTTCTTCATTATCCTTATAACAACTCTATAAAGCAGGTTAGGCTAAGAGTGTGTGACTGGTTCAAGGTCACCAAGTAGGTTTCATGGCAGAGTAGAGATTCTAAACTGGGTCCAGTATCCTAGTCTGAAACTGTAACTGGCTTTCATGGGGTGGTTGCTGTGGAACAGTGGCAAGCAGTCAGTCCTTGGTGAGTCATGCAGATCACATGCTGCAAGTCACCCAGTGGTTGTTGCTGGCAGGCCTGGACTTTATGAATCCTCCCTCAGAGGCCAAAATAGCCCTGGAAAGGGCCCTACCCCCTCACCATGTTTTTTTATGACAGAAACCAAGGCTTGAAAACTAGAAATACTATTGTGGTTTTCTAGCAGTCCCCACAGTGTCCTTGAGAGGGTATTTGTTTCTTAAAGCTACAGGCACTGCTATTATTTTCAGTATTTTTTTCAGATTTTTCTGAAAACCTGGGCTTTTCTCAGGTTTGTAGAAAAATCTGGTTTGTCTGTTTATAGTCCCAGTTGCCAAATTTAAGTATCTAGAAATGAGACCATGTTGAGATTTCTTGTTTCATGTTGTACCAACTGTTCTCTAGTGAAGCTTGCGCTACTTTTATTCATTACAGTTTAAGATTTTAAAAATGTTGCATATTAATATTAAAGCCCATGTTAGCCAAATCTCATCAGATCTCGGAAGCTAAGCAGCGTCAGCTGTGGCTCAGTGGTAGAGCATCTGCTTGGCATGCAGTAGGTCCCAGGCTCAATCCCTGGCATCTCCAGTTTAAAAGATGAAGTAGTAGGTGATGTGAATAGACTTCTGCTCTAGACCCTGGAGAGCTGCTGCCAGTCTGAGTAAACAATACTGACCTTGATGGACCAAGGGTCTGATTCAGCATAAGACAGCTTTATGTGTTAATGTGTCCCTGGTTAGTATTTGGATGGGAGACCACCAAGGAAGTGTAGAGTCACAATGTAGAGGAAAGCAATGGCAAACCACCTCTAAACGTCTCTTCCTTTGAAAACGCTACAGAGTCGCCATAAGCTGTCTACAACTTGACAACACTTTCTACCACCACATAAGAAAAGTAACATTTACTCTTGAATCTTTCTTGCTTTGATTGCAGGTTCCTCAGGATTTTTTTCTTTTTTGCTTATGCTCTGTAAAATTGCAGATGCCATATTGTAAAAAGAGCTTGGTCAGTTTCTTTTCTTTTTTTTCTTTTTTAAATACTGCATGCATAGGGCATATTTTCATTATTAATGCTGAATGCTCTTGGAACAGGCAGTTCATGTGACCTAGAATATATTTAGGTTTGCAGTGTACCCTATAGCAGTGCTCTCAGGTATTCAGTATCCTTACGTGGTTGTAGTATCTATCAGATAACACCATACATACTTTTACTTGGGAGTAAAGACTGTGTACCAGTTGGTTAAAAATAAAACCTGTTAAAAAGTCAAGGGTCGTTATTATCAAGTAAATGAATTTAGGATTGAAGCATAGGCGTGGTTTACCACACACCATACAACTTCACAAAAATCTAAGACCTGATCCCAACTTTCTTCTTGCATACTCTTTCATATTTCATCCAGATTGTCCTGGAAGATATGCAGGGAAACATGGCTTAATTAACAAGAAAATATGGTTTAATTAACTAAGCATAGTTAATCATCTGAATGCATGGCACTACACTGTTGTTAGTTACCACCTGTTAAACTTATTCATTTAGTTAGGTATTTTCACTCTGGTTTTCTCTCAACGGGAATTGAAAGCAAATTCCAACATCATTCTGTCTGAACACAGCCATACTTTTCAAGTTTTTGATGAGGTCTTTCACAACTGTGGTTTAGACAGTCCTTCCCCTTACTAAGACTATTTTTATTTTCTTTATCTGGCTTTTCATCTACCACTTTACAGATTTTCACTACTGTGCAGCAGAATAGAGCAAGAGCAGAAACAGAATATTGGGCCAGGGCATAAACATATCACATCCAGAGTAGCCCTCAAGGCATACTAAACTTCTTAGAATGTTTCCTGTGTACAATACTGACAGCCACTGGAATGGAAGATAGTGAACAGGTTGTAGAATCTTACTTTTGGTTTTTGTACTCTTTTATAGATATCTGATTATTTCTGAAAAACTTGAAGAAATTAAATCTTTTCGAGATCTAACATGTTTGGATTTGTCATGTTGTAAACTTGGAGATGACCATGAGCTGCTAGAACATATTACCAAGGAGACGCTGTCTAGGTACAAGTTCACTGAGGGTTTGTTTCCTGGCAAATAAAAAGAACTGGGAGAGTTTGACATTATTATTTTAGTATAGCAAGTCTGAAAAGTTTTCTAAAGCACTCCTTTGTTGACTTTACAAAGTTCCTTTTTCAGATTGACCCTTATTCTGAGAATTAATGTTGCAAGTTGGTGCCAAACTACATGCCATATGCCAATATATGCTATGGTAACCCAATGGTCATGTTTGTTTTAATTGCCATTTCATAAGGGCACATGGAAAGGTCAATATTTTACTTTGTTCTTGGCTTGAGAGATATTCAGAACCTAGGATTGCAACCTCCTGGAGAAAAAAATGTCCTGTCCCTTTAACAGAGGTTTAATGGTATGTTTTTACCCAGTGGTCTTATTTACCTCCATGCAATGAAAAACTTCATCTGTTCATTTCCACCCATCAAGTCTGTGTTAAAGGAACAGGAGCCTTTTCCTCAAGTCTGTTGGCAACCATATCTGAAGCAGCAAGAAGCTCCCTTGGTGCTTCTAAGTATAAAAGGAAGACTGATTCAGCGTCTCTCGTAAATCCACTGCCTATGTCCATGCTGAAGTGAAAGATAGTAATAGTTGCCGTAAGTTTTGTGTTTGGTTGTTTATATGTTAATGCCTCTTTGAGACATAACCAAGGTGCCCTCTGCAAAAAGAGGGGGAAGAAACAGACTGGATAATTGATTTTAGTTCTGAAGATGTTGTAGGTGTGTTGTTTTTAAAAAATAAAAGTGTATGTTTACAACATTTCATGCCTTTCCTCCTGATTGGAGTGTAACAATGACCTATGTCAGATAATAGAACAAAGTTTGAGTCCAGTGGCACCTGTAAGACCAACCAAGTTTTATTTAAGATATAAGCTTTAATGTGCACACAAACTTCTTCAGATGTCAAATAAAGTAATTGGACCTCTTCTTATGATCGGCAGTTAATAAAACTGCAGAGATAATATCCCATTGTTCAACATTAGGGATGGGCATGAACCTAAAATCAGTTCAGGGTTTGGGGCAGCCCCCAAACAGAACCCCAAACCAAGCCAAGCTGGCAAGTTCAGGGGGAGTGAAACTGATGAGTTTAATCGCTGGTAGCCTTTTCATCCTAACAAAAGGGTGGGTGTTCCCATCAGCGGGGTGGGTGTGCTCATCACCTGTTAGGTTGAAATGGCTGGCAGCCGTTTCACCAATCCATTTCCCTCCCCCTGCTTTGAAGCTGGGAGGAAGCAAAATGGACCAGTGAAATGGCTCACAGCTCAGCTGCAGACCCCATGCCACTCAGCTCTTAGGTTTAAATGGCCCTAAACAGCTGAACTAAACCAGACAAAAGTCCGGTAAATTTTCAGGGAAGGCGCCTTCCCCAAATATTGATTCGGGGGCTCCAAACTGGCCCAAGTTTGTGCCGAATTTTGGCTCCTGGGCCAGTTCATGCCCATCCCTATTCAACATACAGAATAACATCTTTTTTACTTTATACTGATAGCATATGATTTTCAACAAATGAAACATTAGTGAGGAGTTTATCAGAATCATAAATCTACACTGACTATGTTTCAGCTATGTATTTTCACCTGGTATTCTGGCTTTTTTATGGTACTATGGTTATCTGACAACACAGATATAAAATTCTGAATTGTTATGATGCCTTTATCATACACGTTAGATTTGGTACTAAAACATACCACATTCAGTCAGGTAAATTATAAAGTGCTGCTGTATATTTTATGGATATTAATTTCCACTTTACTCTAATTTAAGCATTCTTAAAACTGGCATATTTGGGTTTACTTTTGTATTACCAGGCTGCTTTCAAAACTAGAAACTTAATTTACATGAATATCTGGCTTATTTTGAAAACTGACATTTGCATTTATCCTAGTCTAACTCGGCTTCTTCTGAAAGATAATTGCTTATCAGATGCTGGTCTTCGCAGAATGACAGCACCTGTTCGAGTGATGAAAAGGGGCCTTGAAAATCTTTCACTATTAGATTTGTCTTGTGAGTATGATTTAGATTAGAATGTATGTATATATCTCCTAACCCAACATTAGTCCTAGTCAATATCAGAAAACATAATGAATCAAAATTTGATAGTACTGTCTTCCTATTAGAAAAAAAGGGGAGACATTGACAAGTCAATGTATTTGACTGAAATCTCTTGTTGTCTGTTTAAGCTAAGAGGTCAGTCAAACATATTATGTATCATGCAATAGAACCAACCCATATTCTGTTGATCAGTGTAGAAACAGTATTATAATAGCCATTATATGGTGTGATTCCTTAAAGCTTCAATCCTGTGCACACTTACTATGTATGCCGTTTTGAATGTAGCAGAACTTACTTTCCAGTTAATGGGCAATATAGGACTGTAATTGTATCTATTTAGCTTACTGTACATTAGAATATGGATCCTTGTCTGCCATATAATTTATGAGGCTGGACATACATACATTGCCCTGATACTGTACAATCAGTATTTCAACCAAGTGGTCATAATTCAAAGTTTCTTTATGTAATAAAGTAAATCCAATGTGACATTTTAAAAATTCAGAGTTCTTCCACTGAAGGAAGTGACTTGTCCTGGATGGGGAAAACTGTTTTTGAAGAGTCAGTCAGGGTGTCATGCTGGAGGGGGAAACTTTGCCACTCCTCACTGCAGCCCCCCATATTTGTGATGTGATTTCTTCAGGAAGTGCCCTCAGCCCTCAAAGAGGAATTTTGAAATAAACAGCACACTGCTGGGAGAAGGGGAAGCAGAGAAAGATCAGCTCCACCAGCTTCTCCTGTGGGCTTTGCTGCTGATTCCAACTCTATGCACAGCTTCTTCCCCAGCATGATAGGACAACATCTCATTCATTTTTCTCTGTTAACCTGTTTTATAGTCTTCAGCTTAATATTTATATTCTTGACTTTATGTAGGTAATCCAGGCATCACCAATAAAGGAATTGGGTTCCTTCTTTCCTTCAAAAAGCTAAATTATTTGGATCTTTCTGGAACTGGCATTGAGGTGAAAAAAATCTTCTGTCCTATTAGATATGTAATATAACATTTGGGGAGGGGAACAAAATTCAGTGAACAAATTCCTTATGTATAGGAATTTCAAGGAAAAAAGAAGAAATTCCAATATATTGTTTTTCTGCATGGTCACATTCTATTTGATCGTGACTCTTTTTGAATTTTCTTTTTCACTAGGACATGATGGTAGTAATTCAGCGGATCCAGATTCAAATAGGTCTAGTTTATTCAGAAGTGCCTTTGAAAGAATTTGATCATAACTGCAAAACAGAGGGATGGGCAGAGCATGTATGTACAAATTTAATCCATCAAAACCCATTTCTTGCATTTTTCCATGTGGTGAAAAGTATTGATTTTAAGTAAATTGTTTGCTTCTAAGGAGATGTTATAAATGTATTAGAAATTCAGGGGCAAAGGTGAATAATCATAATACATTTGTTTACATTCTTTAACAAAATGTTAAATTTCATTAGCAGGAAGTAAAATAAGAATTATCACCAGACAGACTTTCACTATCAAATGTTTGTGTAAATATCTAAACTCAACTGTCTGTCAGTTGCAGCTGCTGTCATCTATGGCTGTTTATTTCTTTTGAGGATCTTGTTTGGCTGTGTAAAGTGGAACTGTGATATAAAATGGAACTTAAATCCAATGTACTTTCACACTGGATATCTAACATGGAATAATATTCTTAGCTGTTTTTCCTGTTAGCTTATTGATGACTGATTCTTGAACTCTTTTTAGACAGTTTTGCAATGGGAGCACATCATGCAAGAAGGAATTAATCCACAAAGAAGCTTGAAATCTAGAGCAGCAGTCCAGCATTTCTGTATGTACCTTCATAAGGATTTGTTTGTATGCTAAGGCCATTTTATTGGTTTATGAAGAAGAGGATGTATATTGTTCACTGCCTTACCAGTCCAGTGGAAGAGCCACTTAAGTTAGAGAAAGGCTTCAGACTTTGCTGAGTGGAGTGACAGGATACAGACCACTGAAACTGCACTCCAAAGAATCTGTTTAGGCTTAATTTTGAACAAATTATTTGACACCCCCCCACAAGTCCCAAAGCTGAAGAGGCAGTCTACTTTTGAAAATGAATACTAGCTTGTGGTTGCACTCTTAAGAACACTTTCTTGGGACTAAGCCCCATTGAACAACATGGGACTTACTTCTGATTACAGCTGCTTAGGCTTGTGCCTTGTGTCCTTTACAGCAGTCTGGAAAACTGAAAGAAAGCCATGACTATGCATGCAATTGGCTCCCCCAGTGCTCTGAAATAGCTTCATCAGATCTTGGTCTGAGACCTGAAGCTCTTAATATAGGCCACAATAGGGCTGAAAATGTATAGACGTTACAGTAATTCTTGGTACTTCATGACATCTTTTTTTGCAGATGGAAAAAGAGCCAGGGCCGAAGAACCTTGTGAGTCCCCTCTAGAAGGAGGGCATAGAAAGACTTGTGAGAACTTACAGTTTTACAAGAGAAGAGCACAGGTGTGCAATTTGCCTTTACTAAAAAAGAAGACTGAAGATAATGAAGAATTACAGAAGAAAAGGACTCCTTCACCTAAACCCAAAGACCAGAACTTAAAAGCAAAGCATTTGGGCCTCTTGATGGAAGACTGGGACTTATTAAATTCTTATTGATTCTGATGGCAAAATTACAAGATCCATACAAATGTCAAAACCATTTTTAAAAAATAAACTATGGGATTGAAATATCTATCCTAGTAATATGACAAACTGTTTCTACCTTTAGTGTAAAAGAACAAGATTCTCAGACAAGTGATGAGCTCATTCCACTTCTGAAATGAGCCCTAATTTTTTCAATAAACAGTCACCTTTTGGCTAATATGAAATAGGTTCAGTTCAGAAGATTCCTCGCCATACTCTTATGTCAAAGGGCTGATTCACACAACTGTACATCACTGACTTACAGTTGAAATGGATGAAGGTTCTCTGTTGTGAAACACACTTCTTGAGGTGTTAAATATGAAAGTCTGATGCCTGTAATTGAACATTCATGACTATTTTTACTGATTCAAGCAATCATTTGGTGCTTGTCTCAGCTAGTGGTGAACCACTGTGTCTTAACTTGCCTAAACGAAGCCATAATGACAGAAAAGGACTGTTGCTTAGTGTGGTTCGCCCTGTTTTTGTTAACATTTCTAAGATACAGCAATAAAAAATTGGAACTGAGAAGCTACACTGATATCATTTTATATTTGTCACATATTCCTGTAAGGCATTTATCTATAGTGTCATTGACCGCCTGTAAACCACATTAAGATGTAACTAAATAAGCTAAAATGGATTTATATTAGAACAGACTTTTTCTGTTCATCTACCAATGTGAAGGTGAGCATGTGGCATAAGGTTGGTGAAGAGAATTTGTGAATTTATTTCATAGCAATGTAAAGTAGAGAAAGACTCCCACCCATGGGGGGGAAATCACATTTTCCATAGTGTTATAAAAGGTGACCAGGCCTCAAAAATGGATAAAGGTAAAGGTTCCCTTGCTCGAAAGCCAGTCGAGTCTGACTCTAGGGTTGCGGTGCTCATCTCCGTTTCAAAGCCGAAGAGCCAGTGCTGTCCGAAGACGTTTCCGTGTTCATGTGGCCGGCATGACTAAACACCAAGGTGCACGGAACGCTGTTACCTTCCCACCAAAGTGGTACCTATTTATCTACTTGCAATTTCTTGCTTTCGAACTGCTAGGTTGGCAGGAGCTGGAACTAGAGACGGGAGCTCACTCCGTCATGCGGCAACTCGGGTCTCGAACTACTGACCTTCCACAGCCTGCAGTTCAGTGTCTTAACCACTTGAGCCTCCGCAGCTCCTTAAAAAAAAATGGATATATCAAAATAAATACAAGATTTAAGGGATGAACACTTACTGCTAAATGTGATTTCTCTCACACACACTTTTAATGAGGTACATACATGCTTTCAGCCATTTGAAACATGTTAAGTACCTTTCTAAGTCCACTGAAGTAAACTGGCTAAGAAAGGCGTAACTGTTTAGGATTGCACAGCTAATGGTCTGAGGTACACAAATGTCCATTGTTAGCTGATCTTGAAATATTTCTTATAGGAAAATGAGATGAGAAATCAAAACATTAGTTGTTATGAGAAATCAAAGTGTTACTACTATTCATATAACACTGATTCATTGACTAGTTGCCTATATCCTCCTCCCCTTAAAGTAATAAAGAGGTCACCTGAGATCTACATTAGAAGTCCATAAGCTGAGGGCCCATGAGGAATCATAGGAAAGGAGAGACAAACTGGAAATCCCCCTTCATCCATGCTCCCCTAAACATTTGGAGAAGAGAGAAGGCTCTCCCTTACCCAATAACTGACTGTAACATTCTCTCTCTGTTGGAACATATTTAATCTTCAAGAAGCCATTAAAATTTACAAAGTCATATTGGAGAATTTTTCAAGTACATATTTTATTTAAAATATTTTTAATGTGGCCTTTCCATCCAATCAGGATCCACGAGGTGTTGAACATAAGATACATTAACATTTAGACAAAACATAGTTAAAATTATAAAATTCAGTTAAAAACATACAAACAATGCCAGAAGGAAGACCAATAATCATAATTGAGGGTATGCCAGACAAAACAAAGAAGACTTCACCTGCTGGTGAAAGACACTGATAGAGGGAGACAGGTGAATCTCCCGGGGGAGGGAGTTCCAAAGTCTCTTAGGTTGCCACGTACCTAGCTTCAGGGCCTCTGAAGATGACCAGAGTGAGCATGTAGGTTTGTATGGAGAAGGTGGTCCTTAAAGTATGTTGGTCCCAAGCTGTACAGGGCTTTAAACATCAATACCAGCATCCTGAATTGAACCAGGAAGCAAATTGGAAGCCACAGTAGATGGAACAAGACTGAAGTGATATGGTCCCTATGACCTACTCCAGTCAAAACTCTGGCTCATGAAACTTATACCAGAATAGATTTGTTTGTCTTAAAGTCACTATGTTTCAGTTACTTAAACAATGACGTACTTAATATGATGTTATAGTGATCATCAAATCAGTCAATCCTAAAAGAAATCAACCCTGACTGTTCCCTGGAAGGCCAGATACTGAAGCTGAAACTCAAATACTTTGGCCACCAAATGAGAAGGGAGCACTCACTGGAGAAGACCCTGATGCTGGGAAAGATTGAAGGTCAAAGAAGAAGGGGACGACAAAGGATGAGATGGTTAGACAGTGTTATCAAGGCAACGAATATGAAATTAAGCAAACTCCTGAGCACGACGGAAGACAGAAGGGCCTGCCGTGATGTGGTCCATGGGGTCGCAAAGAGTCAGACTCGACTGTGCGACTGAACAAGAAGAAGTGATTCTCAATCTAGTAAGCATGACTTCTAACTTTTATCTGCCATCCAACAGTGTTTAAACACTTCCATCGTTTGTGCTGCAAAATACAAAGTATTTGCTAAGGCAATTAATAGCTTGTAAATATTTATCTATTGCACCATCAACATTACATGACTATAGGCAAGTCCATTTTTGTCTGATAGGCTATGGTAGGAAGGATCTGTTATTGGATATAGCTTCATACAATACTTCCATTACATAAGACCAAGTTTACAGTTCTCTTCTAGATAAAAATTATGAGTCACACAAAGCTCTTCTTAAACAGTTGCATCCTAGCTACAAACACCAACAAAATGTGTCATTTTACATAATAGATTACTAATTTCTGGTCATATCGCCTGCATTAGGACAAGAGTTTTAAGATACGGTGATCTTTTTGTCTGCTATGCAAGGCAGAAAGTTAATCAGATGGGTACAAGGACTGTTGCTTGAATTCAACATCATGAAATGAATGGAGGTGTCCCAGTGCATCAAATACCAAAGAAATTGCCATCACACATTGACCATAAAATATACTGGTATAATTGCTCTTAGAAGCCTGACCTAAAGCATCCAAGAATCCACAGACAATTGTGGAAAAGGGCAGTGAGCAGGAAGTATAACCAGCAAAGCATAATTAATCACAGTTAATTGTCACTGACCTCATAATACTAGAAATAAGATGTTGACTAGTACGCTGCGAGTACTTATGCAGCAGTCACTCATAGGATCAGATTGTGACTGAAAGAATGGATGTTGCTTGATGTATTATCCTTGCTAATAATCTTTTTTGTTAAAGTTCCTGTCATTAAGATTTTAAGAATCAAGGTTTTGCAGGGTCTGCATTACAAACCAGCAACTGGTTCAACTCCGTGAGATTCATAAAGCCAGATTCCTTCTCCCTTAACATCAAGCCTATGCAGTGTTCCCAAGAGCCACCGAAGTTTATAAGCAGAGCCTCTTACACTCACTCACAGGGGAAAAAATCAAGTTCAAATAATTGTGGTAGTGCAAGGAGCAGTGTTCCACTTTTCCCATAAAATCCAAAATTAATGGAGGTCACACAGCAACCATATTTGATGGATTCTTCCCATTCTCTTCTGAGAGTTTCCAGTCCTGGGCTGCTTATCTCGAGCAGACATATTCATCAGACCAGTCCGAACAGTGCTGTACTCCATCGTTGCAAAGACTCCTGGGAATGCAGGCACAGTAAGCATGGAAGACTACCATGGTGCAGCTCCACCACTGAGGCCCACAAGGAGTACAACTGGCCCCTGGCATGAAAAGAAAAGTCACTGATGTACTGTTTCTCTCCCTAATGTTACATTCCACCCTTATATTGGCCAAAAAATGGCCCTCTTGCAAAAGAAGTCCTACACTTTTGTTATTCCATAGAAGACACATTTTCAATAGCAGCTGTTTTTCTAGTTCCTATTATGACAAGCTTCAACAGCCAAAATTCCACCTTTCACACATAATCTCTGATCTTTTTTGCCTGAAGTCACTTTGGCTACTGCAACTACTATTTAATATGAAATAAAATTTGGAGTGTGCCGGCGTTAACACAGATTGTAAAAACTACAGCAGAGGAGTAGCAAGGCAATTTGGTTTCTATGGGGGAAAGAAATTAGGCACTGAACATAAAAAATATTTCACCAGATTCTCAAGAAAACACTGCAAATAAGGGTTACTGTATTCTGCTGAAGTTATTCTTTCAATATTTCAACAGCCCCCTCTCAAATTTTGACTCCAGAGATCACTTCTAAAGATTTCTTAATGAGTAGATATTACTGGACGGCTCTCAGCCTACATACAGAATAAGGGAAGCAGAATACCAGTTGTTATAATACCATGTGCTATTACAGGTAGTAGAAGCAACTGCCAGGTAGCAGTTCCTTTTGTGTGCCTTCAGCAGCGAGAAAGTGGTACAGAGCACCTAGAGCTTGTTGCAGTCCTTGAAAGAGGCAGGTCCTTCCCCATGCATTAAACATGAAAAGGCAGAACATAAATGAAAAGATTCTCTGTAAATTAAGAAAACAGGCAAAAAAGTAACTCCACCCTACCAGACTATCTGCCCAGCACATCACATGTATCACATAAATATAGTTTGCATGCCTCATAGAGAAGGAACTTACAGGTCCCTGTTTCATCAGAGCAATCTCCACAGTCATTCATCCTATCACATCTTTTGTCAGCATAGATCCAAGATCTGGGGTTGCCACAATAAAATATGAGGTATCCCGGAAGGCTGTTGGGCAAATCATCTACAAGAAAAGAAACCGAAGTGTATTAAGCCATCCCACAGCACAGTATATAATATGCAGGAGGACAAAATATTAGTAATTTAAAATTTACTAATTAGTCATAAATAGCATTAGTAATGACTTGTGGATTCTTATAATAAAACAGCTTAAATTTGTGTAAATGTTTTAAAAGCAAGCTTAGAAATGTTCTGGCTATGTGAAGGGATCATCCCTATCATCTTGTACGGGGAAAATGAGAAGCAGTCAGTGATGATGTAACTCACACTATCTTGTTGTGTCAACTTAATCTTAATCTCTCCAGTGACAGTCTTTTGCTTTAAAAGGGCTTTACCATTTTTTGTTTTCACTACAAGGGTGATGCTATGGGACCTGCAAAGGTAGGCAGATGTCGAAGTATTTAAGTTCTGTGAAAAAGTAGTTCACATCCTAATGGGGGGAAAAAGGTCTTATGGTTATGTTGATTTTCTAACAGAGAATACTGGTTTATCCGATAACCTTCACTGAGGTTGGAATTATCAGATGACCAGGAATTCATTTTC